AAGCCCTCCTGACATCTGCTCAATACGACGCAGCAAGGATCAGAGGGAGGAAAAGACGGGAGGATGAGAGAGTGTGTGTGTGTGTGTGTGTGTGTGAACGAGATGTCCTCTCCGCTGTCCTCTGACCAGGCTGTAGGAAGTTGAAGCTTTTCCAGCACACTGCACACGAGTGAGGAGATGACATCTGTCACTTAATGTCACAACTGCACGCTCTGCAGAAAAGGAGAAGGAGAAACAGATATATAATATAATGTATACTTTACTGCGAAAGCTTCAAAACAGGGTTCTGTGGACACTATTGTTTTGTTTGGAATGAAGGCGGGATTGTTTGTTCTAGATGTTCTCATCGAGTAAGAACTGATCCTGGACGTTCACCTCATCTCTTACGTGAGATAAATCCAGCTTTAATATTTAAGTGTAATATTGTGACAAAAGGTTTCAGCACCACTCAGCTGATTGGTTTAAAGATCCAGCTGTGCGCGCACAATGATGTTAATGCCCCTAATGAGCCCCCCTGGCTTAATTAGGGTCAAGGTCAAAGGTCATAAATGCTCTCAATTAGCTAATTATAGTTTAAGGGTTGGACTTGGCTCATTTTAATCAATTTCCTTAAACAAACTCAACCAGATCATTGAAGTATTCTAAATGTAACTACAATTAATTATTTTAACTGTAACTAATTAGTTTTTTTTTACAGTAAAAAAAAATTTCAGAGTAAAAATTTCTCATATTTGTTCCAACAAAATAGAAAAGGTTTTATGGATCATTCGCAATGACTAAGCAAAGCCTGGAGCCTGTTCTGACCTTGAAGCAGAAGCTGAAGTCTCAGGAGTGTGTGTGTGTGTGTGCATGTGTGTGTGTGTGTGTGTGTGTGTGTGTGTGTGTGTGTGTGTGTGTGTGTGTGTGTGTGTGTGTGTGTGTGTAGCAGTCCAGCTGTCAGGTTCTGAGCAGAGGAAAGTGTGTGCTGGTTTGTTTGGTCGCAACTACTGAAGTGCAGCGTGAAGGAAAGGAGAGAAGGAAGGACGACCCGCTGAGGGGAGAAGGGTTCAGGTGGTGGAGGAAGGAGGCGCGGTGGAGGAAGGAGGCGCGGTGGAGGAAGGAGGCGCGGTGGAGGAACGAGGCGCGGTGGAGGAAGAAATGTCCTCACAGAGCTCAGACTATTCCGGATGTGTACGTAGTTTTATGTACTTTCTGAGAAACTGAAACTAAAGTGAAGGCATTCTAACAAATAACTAAATCAAAATTAAAATTTGGTAAGAAGTGAAACAAATGTGGTTTAAAAAGCAGAGCTCTCCTCACCTCAGCATCCAGTCACATGAACAAATAAACCCAGCGTGAACTTTCTCTTCTTTATGCATATTGAGTTTCTGAACCTCACTGAAGCAAAAGAAATCGACATCCTACTCGTGGAAAAGCACCTGACTTGTGGACTTATTAAAACAGCCGTCTGGCCCTTTAAGACTTCTTTTTCCCCCCTGACTGAAAATGGCCGGTGCGTCTCGCCCGCACGAGCTTCTTCCTCCCTCGTGTCTCCGGACGCACAGCTAGCGAGACACAACATCTCACACTGAAGAGAAAGCGCCCGTAACTCACGGCGACGCGCCGTCACAGCGAATCCCAGCGGCTGCTTGACGCTTCTGTGTAATTTATAAAGCAGCCGTCACCTCCACCGACGCTGGTGACTCCCCACTGGTGGACACACACGTGATGTGGGACGTACATGTTGATCTTGTCCCTTGTGTGTCTGTCTCGAGTTATCATCGCAGGACACCAAATAAATTAACTTTTATTAACTAAATTTAACAATTAACAAATCTTTGCTCCACCTGATATAAATCATCTTCCGGCTGAAGACAAAAGTCCACCTGACTATTAAGTATTTATATCATTTATATATATATATATATATAATATATATATATATATAATATAACTAATTTAATCTAATCTAACGTCTTGCATGAATTTTTACCTTAAACAAAATCCCATCAAATGTACATCAGCTTAAAAAAACACAAAAACACAACAACCTGAACCTCACGCATAAATGAGCCTCGGGGTCACGACCTGGCTTTTTCGTGGCACACGCGTGTGAGGCGTGTGCTCGTTGGACGGTGAGCGGCGGCGACAAGCTGTCAAAGCGAGTCACCAGCGCTTCATCACATATGAACAACACAGCGTAGAAGTTACCGCCGTGTGGCCCCCGTGCTGACCGGCGAGCACGAGGGCCGAGGGGCCGCTGAGCCGCCAGGAGACTCACTGAAGGACGCTTGGCGCAGCTTCTTTGGAGGAAACAGATATTTATGACTTCCTGACGTTGTCTCACGCTTCACAGCTGTCTTCCTTCTGCTCATTAACGTTGGTTCATGTTGCGATTTGCACGCGTGAGGCTGTTTTTCTATATTTCCACGCTCACACACAGAAACACACATTCCTGCCCGTCCTCTCTGCGCCCTCTGGAAACATGACTCCATTACCGTTTATAACCACCTTTCCTTTGCTCTGTCTCCCCATTCCACCGTCTTTGTGTCTCTTGAATTTGCTCTCTTCCTTCTTAAATAACGCTGGAGAGGAAAAAACATTTGGTCTGTCCTTACAGGACAGTGATCAATGCGCCGGTGCTGGTTATTAATCGTGATTCATTCGTCTGTCCACATTGTCGGTCAGGGTGGAGGGTGATTCCAAAGCACGGGACTTTCACCCGGGAGAACTGAGTTTTTGTCCCGTGTGAGTCAACGTTGATTTGTGTGCTACCAGGAGCTGAGAACTGAAATGTAAACCTCCTGATGGAGGTAGGAGGTCCTCAGTGAAATGACTCATCCTCTGGGGAACATGCATGCCTGTAGAACCTTCCACAGTTTGTAGATCATGTGGATCAACATCGGATTCAGCATGATGAGCAGACCTACTAAGATTATTATGAGAGTGAGCCTGCGTGTGTGCGTGTGTGTGTCACAGAGAGAGCGAAGTTTAAATCTCTATAAATATAGATTTCCATCTGATTTCTCCCTGGAGAGAAATCGTGGTTCGTGCGGACGGGATGAGACGCGAAAATGAAGAGAAGATCGCGTTAGAAGGGGGAGAAATGGGGGAGACAAGGACGTTACGGGGAGAGAAGGGAGGGCTGCAGGGAATCGTTCGGGGGCGAGAGGACATTTTCCTCTTCTCCAGAATCCATGTGAAACCAAATTACCGCAGACAACAGCATTACGGACGCAGACGTTGAAGAGATGAGAAATGAGCAGCAGAGAGACACTAAGAGACTGAGACGAAAACCACATTGAGTCATTCCATGTTTGTTCTCCTGCTTTGTATTCAGAGCACAAAACACCAGGGATGCAATGCTAGTGTAAGAAGATGTATAATTGACCCCCCGTGGTTACTGTTGCTGGGCCTGTCTAGCTCCGCCCAGTGCCTCAGCATGACGTTTTGACCCCGCAGAGATAATAAACCATTCCTGGAAGAGAGCTCATGTCAAATCAGAGAGGAGTGGCATAATTTCCCATTTATGAGCGAAGAGACCGTTGACACTCAGGAGAAAAGCTGACGAGCGTCAATAAAAGCGTCGGTCAAGATGTAGTTTGCATTTCTGATCAAAAGGAAATCATCAAAATTTAAAGCCCGTTTGTGTCATATTATGAAGATATTCCCCTCAGGTTTGCAAAGTGGAAGCAGGTGAGCGGGTGAGAGTCAGGTGACTTGGATGGAGGATGGATGGAGGACGGCAGTGCGAAGGCCTTGGCGGTGGGAACAAGACCTTTGTCGTCATGGTTACGTTGATAAACACCCGACTGAACGAAAAGGAAAAATGAACGTCTCGCCGTGTTCATGACGCACTTCCTGCCCCGAGTGTCTCCTGACCTGAGGTCTAAAATTGGAACACAGCAGCGTTTGTGCTCCTGTCCTTGAGGGAGCGTCAGATATGTGTCCCACGCAATCTGGAGGGCGTGAAGAACCTCATCACAATACAATCTGGAGGGCGTGAAGAACCACATCACAACGCGATCTGGGGGGCGTGAAGAACCTCATCACAACACGATCTGGAGGGCAGGAAGAACCACATCACAACGCAATATGGAGGGCGTGAAGAACCTCATCACAACACGATCTGGAGGGCAGGAAGAACCACATCACAACGCGATATGGAGGCCGTGAAGAACCACATCACAACGCAATATGGAGGGCGTGAAGAACCTCATCACAACGCGATATGGAGGGCAGGAAGAACCACATCACAACGCAATATGGAGGGCGTGAAGAACCTCATCACAACACGATATGGAGGGCATGAAGAACCTCATCACAACACGATATGGAGGGCAGGAAGAACCACATCACAACGTGATATGGAGGGCATGAAGAACCTCATCACAACACGATATGGAGGGCCGAGCCAGAAGACGGATGAGACATTGAATAGAAATGGAGAGGAACAGGATCGTTTTGTAATCTAATGATGATGACTTGGAGGCCGTGTGTGTGTGTGTGTGTGTGTGTGTGTGTGTGTGTGTGTGTGTGTGTGTGTGTGTGTGTGTTGACTCTAGCTCTAATTATCTGTCACACACTGAAATGGAATAAGTCCTCAGGGAACGAGAGCTGGAGGGAGGAGCAGAGAGGAGGAGGAGTGGGGAGGAGAAGGAGTGGGGAGGATGGGCGCAACCACCATTATGCAACCATCCTCCCCGAACACACACACACACACAGACACACACACACACACACCGTGCACTGCTGTCATAAGGATGCAAGGACAGATGGGCATTTGTTCATTATGCCTTATAATTTTATTGATTTATTTACAGTCAACTCACTCATTGATTCAAGTAAAAACTATATTTGTTAATAAACATAAAACAGATCATTGACCAACAGGTGAGCTAGTGTGATATATTGCATTTATTTATTTTTTGGTTATTTTTTATATTCCTCCAGCTTGTTGATAGATAAGAGGTGAATCCTGGACTAATGGACGCACCCGTTCCCTGTCCGTCTCCCTGCAGTGAGCTCCAACCAGAGCCATGGGGAGCACCCGGACTGCCGCGGTGAGAGGGAGTCGGGAGGGGAGGCGTCCCTCCTGGTGTCTCCGCTGGTGGTGGCGGGGATCGTCATAGGCCTGGTCCTCTTCCTCTCCTGCATCACCATCATCGTGGGCAGCCTGCGCAAAGACAGTCGACTTCGAAACCCGCACCTGCGAGCCGCCTACGGTGAGCCTTCAGGTCAGCCCACCAAGTCCACGCAGTCCACGAAGTTCATTCAGGCTCCACAGCTGGATTTATTATGTTGCTTCTTCTTTGTGCACAAATATGCACATGGAATATACACGCAGGGTACAAAAATAATGAAAAACTCTCAACTCAAATGTGGATTTTGCTGGATGTCTCTGCAGGTCTGGATGGATTCTCCTACGGCGGCTCGGTGGGAGAACTGAGGTCCACCTGCTTAGAAGAATTTCCTCCTGGTTTGGACTTTGATTCCTACAGAGAGACGCTGTCACGAGTCAACGACCTGTACCCCGACTCGCCGCCGCGGTAAGAGCCCAAGTGAATCCATCTCAACGCTTCCATTCCCAGTAAAGTGCCCCCCCCCCCCCTCCGAGGGCGGCAAACACACACCGGAAGAGAGATGAGATCACGGTGTTCAGCTTTTACAGGGAGAGTTTGGCGTTCAGTAGCATCCCAGCACGGACTTGGTTGGGATTCTTAACGGTTCCTCCTTCAGCCCGTCAGGTCAAATGTCCACTCGGCCTCGCCCTTCTTCTGTGGTAATTCATTTATTACGGAGCATTGCTACCTTTGGTGCCCTTTGTGAAGGTGCGGTGATGTGCGTTTGAGCCCTCTGTGTGTGCGTGTTTTTGTGTGTCTGCGCGCGCGTGTGTGTGTGTGTGTGTGAGAGAGAGAATGAGAGAAAGAAAGAGCTCGCTAAAGGCCAATGTCATGGTGTTTTTGATCTAAATGTCAGCTGGTCTAATTGGCAACTTTAATAATTCACATACATCCCTCCCCTGCAGTGTGTGTGTGTGTGTGTGTGTGTGTGTGTGTGTGTGTGTGTTTCATTCTGCTGGCTCTGTGGAAACAATCACTCACTCAACCCAAATGAACCGGTCTGATGTTGCATAGCGTCTTATCTCTTGGTTCATTAAAAGAGAGTTAATTCCTGACTGAGACGGTTATCTGACTCCACGATGTCGGCGGCCACCAGACGCCTCATGTGGAATATGACGACTTGCCAGGAGAGCGGGAATAATTCAATTACAATGTGATTGATTATTTCAACTGCGTTTCTGAGACTTCATACGCTTCTGAGTTCTTACAGATGGAGCAACAAAGTGATGAAGCGAGACAAAAGTAATCAAAACATCGTAAATTCAACCGTAGTCTTCGTGTCGACCGCGTTGGTTTGTGAACTTCTCGTCATCTCGTCCGTCACCTTCTTGGCTTTTTTTAACCAATAAAAGTTACCCTGCTTTACCATATTCAGTTTGACTCTAAATTTAACATAATTTACTAAATGACTTGAAGCTAGAGACTGATCTTAAGGCACTTTGGCGTTGGCTTCACTTCACAGAGCTGGAGGTTGAGGGCCTGGTGCCAGTATTTCAGTCGAGTGATATTAAAGCATTGCAGGAGTCAAACCAGCAACAGTGGTGGAATCATGCAGAAATCAATTAACAGAACCATGTATGTCTCACTGCTTCAGAACCAAGCCTCCGTACACTATTCTTCACTTTCAGGTGGAACATGGCCCATTTAATGTTGCTGCACATTCACATTCATCATGTTCCAACCTGAGGCCGAGGGTCTGAAAGCAAAGCTCACGTTCTTGGTGCTTTCTCCTACACAGACAAAGTGCCTCATGCCCAAACATGCATCATCGGTGGAGCGAACACACCTGGCCAGCGGCGGGTTTGTGTGTTTGCTGCGATGCTGCAGGGTCCTGTTATGTGGGCCAAGAACATGTTCCCATGCACTATTACAGTCCCCACAAGACGTGGGATGAGGAGAGGATGAGGGGGAAGAAGAGGGGGAAGATGAGGAGAGGATGAGAAGATGGAGAGAATGAGGAGAGGATGAGGGAGAGGATTGGGAGAGGATGAGGAGAGGATGAGGAGAGGATGAGGAGAAGATGAGGAGAGGATGAGGAGAAGATGAGGAGAGGATGAGGAGAGGATGAGGGGAGGTTTAGGAGAGGATGAGGAGAGGATGAGGAGAGGATGAGGAGAAGATGAGGAGAGAATGAGGGGAGGATGAGGGGAGGTTTAGGAGAGGATGAGGAGAAGATGAGGAGAGAATGAGGAGAGGATGAGGGGGGGATGAGGAGAGGATGAGGAGAGGATGAGGGGAGGATGAGGAGAGGATGAGGAGAAGATGAGGAGAGAATGAGGGGAGGATGAGGGGAGGTTTAGGAGAGGATGAGGAGAGGATGAGGGAGGATGAGGGGAGGATGAGGAGAAGATGAGGAGAGAATGAGGGGAGGATGAGGGGAGGTTTAGGAGAGGATGAGGAGAGGATGAGGGGAGGATGAGGAGATGATGAGGGGAAGTTTAGGAGAGATTGAGAGGAGGATGAGGGGAGCCAGCTCGCTACGTCAGTGCTCTGGCAGCAAACCACAGAGCGCCGGCCAACATGCACACACACAACGCACATTTTGTTTACCATAATGCTGACGAGCCGTTTGGTTCACTGTCAACAAGCAGGCAGTTGATCATGTGATGATCCTGCAGGGTGCAAGTGTGTATGCGTGTGTGCGTGTGTGTGTGTGTGTGTGCGCGCAGGCCACAGATGGTTGAGGGAAACTCAGATCAACAGCTCACCTGCTAAGACAGTGAACGTTACGCACACACACACACACACACACACACACACACACACACACACGTATACACACTCTTTCTACCTCCCACAAAAAACTTGCGCTCATGGATCAGCTGCTCGCCTGCAGAGACTGAAAGCTTCTGCTTCCTCTCAGGGAGAAGCCGGGCGAGCTTTGGCTCATGCGCACACACACACACACACACACACACACACACACATACACACTCCTCGATATCTGAATTGTGTTCAGTTGGGCAAATGAACGTATGAACCAAGTGAATAAAAGAAAGAATGCAGTACAGTGACAGGAGACACATGACCTGATGTGCAGCGTGCGTAACTATAGCAACGAAAATCACATCACATCCCACAAAATCAATTTGTGTTTAGTTCATTTAATCATGAAGCAGTATAAAGTATAGAGAACATAAAAACTCCTAAAAAACACGGTGTGAATGAAACTGTTCTGTTGCTTATTGTGATCACGGACATGATGAGTTATCTTCATCCTGTGAGCTGCTTAGTGCTGAGGAACACACACACACACACACACACACCTGTGAATGCAGAGTGTGTGTGTGTGCGTTCTCACAGCGGTGAGGACGATGCCAGCTTTACACACACACACTGTCACGCTGGCACACAGGGCCCATATGCACCGTGTGCAGCTCTGCAGAGCGTCACAACCCGAAGCACGAAGACGTGCCGGAGGTCCGGCTCCCCCCGTGGCCCCCAGCGCAGACGATGAATGTCTACGCGGAACTTTCCATCGTTTTTGTTACGTCGCCCCAGTTCGGCGCCCCGAACTGAGCGACTCATTAAAGAAGTGTCGCGTACGTGATCTCAGACGGAAACAATCAGCGCACAACAACACCGACGGATGGTGGAACACGAGCAGCGGTGTGACTCCCAGCTCACACACTCCCACACACACACACACACACACACACGTGTGAAAGAACACACTCATGAGGCCAGACACACAGCGGCAGCAGAAGGCCTCTGGGGAAGAGAGGAGGTCAAACCCGAGAGACCAAAGACACACAGACTCCATGTGTGACCACACCTCTGAAACACACACACACTCCAATTTACACCTCAACATGCCTGATGTTACCACCAATGTTCACGGTCACATTTCCCCAAAAGGAAATGATAAATATATGTTTGAAAACACACACAAATGAAGAAGGGGGAAAAAAGGAATTTAAAAAAAGGTATAAGGAAGAAGGATGACGTGCCTGACTGATGTAATCAAGCTATGCACGGATTGAGTTTCATTTACTACTTCCTGTGCCCCCATTGTCATCTTCCATTAGCTCCACACACCCACACATGCCTCATAATTCCATTTGTTTTTTCTCCATCTCATGCATTCTCTCATTGGCTGAGGGAGGATGTCGGTAGAGCTGCTGGAGGAGGTCATCAGGGCGGCGTTTTGCAGCCTCCATCGGGTCTGGCGTGTTTGCACTGCGGCATTTTGCAAACAGGGAGCTTTGCGTTGTGTGCAGGCGCGTCAGATTTGGGCTTTGTGAGAAATGTGGCCTTAGATTGGGAGTTACAGGCGACAGCGAGAATGTTAAATGTGGGTGCGTGGGCTCTCAAAGGCGCATGCAGGGACCAGCCAAAGGTCAAGTGTACACATGTTTTAATAATAACAAAAAGCGGTGTGTGCAGCTCATGGGGTCACATACATCACACGTATGGACGTGTGCAGAGGAGTGGGCATGAAAGCAGAAAGGCATTAGTTATTCATTTTCCCCAAATGCTGTTTTGAGTGTCTCTTTGCGTCGGTGTGCAGAGGCAGATGCCAAAGACACACAGACCCCCTGTGTGACGACACCTGCCAGGGCGTTTACTTCTGCCGTACCTTAATCCAGACGTTTCCCAGATGTTGCAATCGGCGCGCAATGCAGAAAGGAGCAGGTCGTCTGCACGCAGTTCTATGTGAGCCGGACCAACGGGTTTATGATCAGAACGCTACATGATGATGCCATCAAATACGTCGATGATATTTTTCAAGGAGAACCATAACTTCCTGTTCTGGAAGTTACCAAACAAAAACTAAATAAGGAAATTCCCGACACACGTGAGCGACTGTGAAGTGTAAAAGAAAGAATACTGACACCCATTTTCAATTGTTTCTCATCTCCATAGTTACGAGGAGTGTGTGTGCCCGGGTCCGCCTCAGACCTACCTCCCCTCCGATGACCCGCCTCCTTACTCCCTGCTGGACCCCCGTCAGAGAGGAGCGCAGCCGGAGGAGCCGCCGGAGGAGCCGCCGGATCCCTCTGCGGGGGGCGCTGCTTGGTTCTCCCCCTCCCACCACGGACACATCGCCTCCATCTCCCTCCGGCTGGAGGCGGCGCCGCCCTACGAGTCGGTGCTGGCCGAGCAGGGCGGAGCCCTCCCTCTGGTGCCGTGTGACCTTTCGCAAACACCAGTCGGAGCGGCGGGGCGAGGGCGGCACCCGGCAGCCGGGGGGCAACCACATCTTGTAGGACAATCAGTTAAGTTGGTGCTGCCGGTTGTTCCTGGTTGAATTAAAACGAAACGACGGAGAGGCAGAAAACGGGCGTCAGGAGCAGATGTGACCCCCTCACACCCCCCCGAAGCATCGCTATCCGGCTCCTCGTTCTGGACTAAATGAAAAGAATAAAAGTCACTTTGTGAAACAGGACAGCTTGTTAAACCCTATCGTGCCCACACGTTCTTCTCCTGTTGTCCCTCCTCCCCCCTCACCTGTCAGCCTGATTCACCTGTGCTTAGGATGCGATGACATCATCGTGCTGTAGCTGCCAGATGATGAGACGAGTCCCAGCTGTGGAAGTCGCTCACAGGAAGTGAGTGAAGCACTCGGCCGGCGGTCGTCGACTCTTTTTGTTTCTTTGAATAAAACGTAGATACTGGTGTCGTAACCGGAGCCCAGCAGCGACGTGTAGCTCGACGCCTCCTCCTCCCCACGCGGAAGTCACACATCAAACTGTAGACCGGAACACGCCGTCTACACGCTTCTGTGTATTTTTCTCTCCGTTTCGGTCTCGTGGAAGAAGGAACCCGAGCGTTGTGACGTCATGGTGGCTTCATTGTCGCACTCATCGGCACCTGGATCTGAATGACATCACTCCTCAGTTTGCTAATTAAGGAACTGTAATGTGTATTTAAAATGTTGGTTCATCTTTCACAAACAGATTTAAAGTTTGGGTCCATAAAATGCCAGGAAATAGGAAAAAGTCCACAACAAAACTCCCAAGATGTTCACAAATAAGGTGAAAGTTATTAACAAAAATAGCACTAATCAATTGAAAGATTTCAGAAACTTTTGGATTTGCCAAACGTTTGCTTGTCCCGTACCTTAATCCAGATGTTCCCTTGTCTTCGCCGTGATGGAATCTCAGCGCTGTGCTCACAGCAGGAAGTCATTCCAGCAAAGGGGATCTTCTGTTGGATTTACGTATCTGACACATAGAAGTTTAACAGATTAGCAGATTAATAGTGAATCTGGTCTGGTCTTTTGTTACATGTGATTACTTTGATTTGTATTTCACTAAATTGTGACATTTGGTCTAACTTAAAAAAATATTGTTATAACACAACATGAATAAAATGTGATGCTGGCTAAAAATACTTTAATAAAGTAATATCCTAAAATGTATTGGCTTGAAAGTAAATGCAGGTGAGCCCTAAAGAGCATCTAGTGACTGAAGTGTTATTAGAGCAGAGGTTTTATCAGTAAAATCAACTGGTGACCAAAGAATTAACACGTTTAATTGTTTTTTGATTTAATGTTATGAAATTGCATGAGGGTTAAAAGATTGTAAAAAGGGACCTGACATGTAGGCTGTATATAGTCAGTCCACACACGTAGCATCACAGCACAAGCGCGTTGAGAAAAAACAGATAAACCAAAAAAATTCACTTTTTGGAAATTAGGAAAATATGAGAAATAATAATATCATGATATAATAATTATTATATATAACAAGTTAAACTCGTTCCGGATTGAGGTTAAAAAATAAATGTTACTCTTCCAAAGTTGTACTTTTAGCTTAGTTCAATATTTAAAAAGATATAATTGTATGTTAGAAAAAGCCATGGTCGGTGAAAGTTGACTTAATGATATTTGTTTGTGTTTTCCATTTCACGTCCTGCCACGTTGCTGCCTCTCAAGCCAGGATTCATTCTCAAATATATAGAGAAATGTATGTTTAACATGTATGTAAACCGACTCCCACCAGGTGGAGATGCAGAAGAAGCACATGACATGGAGCCCCCCCCCCCCCCAGAACAAAAAGCTTCAGTAGAGAGTAGGAAAAGTGAAACGTAAAGACCGGCTTGTTGGTATCGTAATACTCGTTGGAAACTAGAGAGCCGTATTGTTTGCATGTCATCGCTGATCTGTTGCCCCCCCCCGCCTCTTTACAGGCGTAAATGTGTCCAGCCACGGTCAGAAATGTGTCTTTGTGTTCTGTATTTGCAGGATTTGTTTAATATTTTCCTCCGTAGAGAAGACGAATAAAGCTGAACTCTTGTATGAACCCCGAGTGGCTGATTTAAGGTCTTTAAGCTGCATTCTGTGTGGTGACCAGCAGGGGTGCGACTCCTCTGCTCCCATAGACGTCTATGAGGAAATGACTCTACTTCTCTGTAGTGACCAGCAGGGGGCGACTCCTCTGCTCCCATAGACGTCTATGAGGAAATGACTCTACTTCTCTGTAGTGACCAGCAGGGGGCGACTCCTCTGCTCCCATAGACGTCTATGAGACTCAGTAAACTTCTCTCAGTAAACACTGTAAACATGCGTTTATAGACTCAATCTCTGAACATATGAATAAATATATTAAAGACATAACAGCAATACATAGAATTAAACTAAAGAAAAATATACTGAGGTCCTTTTAAAAGTGTTTATATTTATTTTACACCTTTTTTATAAAATAGATCTCACATCAACGTGCCTCCATACGGCCTTCACCGTGTCGCCCTCTGGTGGCGCCTCGATGAAACTGCACGTCCAGAGACCCCCCCCCCCCCACACACAGCAGCTGCGCCCTCAGAGTTCAGTTAAATGCGTGAAACCTGTCTGTAGGGGGGGGGGCAGCTGAAGTCCAGCCACAAGAGACAAGAAGCAAAGGACAGAAGAAGAGGAAACATGCTGCTGTCCCCCCCCCTCCCTCCCTGGAACTGGGCAGAGTTGTTGCTCACCGGCTGCCATGTGATCCGTCCCCCACCACCCACCCGGAACGCCCCCCCACCACCACCCCCCCTCCACGCGGCGTCGTCCCGCGAGGACTGTCCCTCTCTGGAAGTCGTGTGTCCGTTGTGTCGGTGGAGTCCGGCCGACATGCGCTCCTTAGCGGGACTTGGCGCCCTCGTGGCCGCGGCGAGCGTCTTCCTCTACGTGCTGTCCACCCACCTCCCCCCGGGACCCGCGCGCGGCCCGCCGGACCCCGCGGGGGGGGACGACGGGGGGGTCCGGGAGTACAGGTACGACAGGAAATGTCTGTTGTTTATTGTCTAAAAAAAAAGAGAGAGAGAGAGACGTCCTTTTGAAGACATTTCTAGAGATACACATTAAGTGGCTGTTTTTATGAATTTATTGTTTATTTTATTTACAAGATATTCTTTGGCTAACACACACACACACACACACACACACACACACACACACACACACACACACACACACACACACACACATACAGGAATCAGGAAACATTTATTGCCAAAATATGTCAAACATACGGTCTTGGCGGTATTTGTCTTACCAACATAAGAGTCAGACGAAAACCCCACTTTGATTGTCCAGTTTAGTATTTTAAAAGTGCAATTATACGGATATTTGAGTACCTCTAAAATGATAACTAAGTGGATTATTATTATTATTTATTTATTAATATTTGAATCCGTTGTTGTTCAACTGGACCGACGTTGCGGCCCAGTGCTTCTCGTACTGTACAAACTACGGCTCACAGCCACGACTGTGAACACTTGGATTTTAAAGACAACAACATTTTTTTTAAATTCCTTTGATGAAGCAGAAAATAACGTTTCTGGCGATCTCGCCTTCAATAATCTTGTGATCTCTCGTATTTACCGTTTTAAACCCACCTGGCGAGTGAACCATCAGCAGTGGGAGAGTGACCGATGAAGGATTAGTGACCTCTCACCTTTCGTCGGTTACCTCTCTCGTATTAACACAATGAAGGATGAAGTCAAATGTCCCGTTTGTTGGTTTTCTGTTGCATAAATGAGAGAAATAATGAAATGGGTTTGAAATTCCCGTCTCCTCTCAGCACATCTCGCACTGATCCAATTACTGCTCCGTCAGTGTGTGTGTGTGTGTGTGTGTGTGTGTGTGTGTGTGTGTGTGTGTGATTGAATAACGCCGACCAAGACACTCTGAAGCCAACAAGCAGCCATGTGTGTGTGTGTGTGTGTGTGTGTGTGTGTGCTCATTACATGGATATGACTCATTACAAAGGTATTAAACTTATGAACAATAAATATAATATTTGAGAAACAAACCGGAGCCACAAAACACAAAATCCTCACTACGCACTATTGATCACATAGTCAACTATTGTCACTGTTAAAAGGAAACGTCAGCTGCAGCTTCTGGAAAGTGAAGATTTCATTTGATTTCTTCTCGAAAATGAAACATCATCTTTAGCTCTGGCGAATTATTATTGTCTATTTCATGAAACTTTACAATGTCACCATTGTTTCTGTTAACTGCTAAAAGTTTATTTTGCACAAATATAAAGAGAGACAGATAACATGACAGGCAGATACCACCGAGGTTCCTATATAAAATATGATATATATGTATAATATTATATATATATATATATATATATATATATATATATATATATATATATATATTACATTCAGAAGGACTTTGTCTCCTGCAGAAACAGAATGTTTCTCATTGGATTACTCATAAACTAAATTAAAAGTGCCCACGTTGACGCATTTCCCTCCTTAAATACTGCGCACAGACACACACACACACACACACACACACACACACACTCAGTCTCACGCATCACCGACCTGTCGACCAATCACAGAGCAGGATGTTTGCCCGCTGCCCAGTAGAGACGAGGAACGCTGCATGATGGAGCGGTGGGAGAGGAAGTCGGCATCTTGAGTTTCACCGGGGGAGGGAGGGGGGGGTTTTGTGTGTGTGTGTGTGTGTGTGTGCGCGCTCGAGGCAGAGACACTATTTCTGTCCCTCAATCAAATGTCTCCCGTTACCCTCCGTCTCACCTCTCCCTTCCTTCTGATAAGAGCTTCACAACACGCAAATAACGTCAACTAAAAAGGTTGCGTTCCACGATTCACATGTGACCTCGGTACAGTTGAAGCTACAGGAACCAAGGAGCAGACCCTCCACCTCCTCCACCCGTGTGTGTTTGAATTCAGGCTGAAGTTCCCGTCGGACCTGGACGAGCTGCGGGAGCTCGCCGAGATGCTCAAGTTCTACAAAAGAGAACATCACGGCTACGTGCTGCTGCTGTTCTGCAGCGCTTACCTGTACAAGCAGTCCTTCGCCATCCCGGGCTCCTCCTTCCTGGTGAGACGGCCGCCGATTGAACGAAGCCTGTCCAGCTTCCAGAGGGCGACTTTTCACGCCCCCCCAATCCGTCCAATCCCCCCTCAGAACATGCTGGCCGGTGCCATATTCGGGCCCTGGGAGGGTCTGGTGCTGGCCTGCCTGCTCACCACCGTGGGCTCCACCTTCTGCTTCCTGCTCTCCGCCGCCTTCGGAAAGCAGCTGGTGGTCCGGCACTTCCCGGAGAAGGTGTCCCTGCTGCAGAGGAAGGTAGGCGGCGGTTACGTTCCGCGCTGATGAGGGTCATTCATTCATTTCTTACCTGTTGATACAATGACTCCCTCCGTCAGGTGGAGGAAAACCGCAGCTGTTTGTTCTTCTTCCTCCTCTTCCTCCGTTTCTTCCCCATGACCCCCAACTGGTTCCTTAACATCACCTGTCCCGTCCTGAACATCCCCATCCCCGTCTTCTTCTTCTCCGTGCTCATAGGTGAGAGCCCCCCCCCCACACACACACACACACAGTTAAAACACACTGCTACCGGTAACCTCCTCCCCCACCTCCTCCACCTCCAGGTCTGATCCCCTACAACTTCATCTGCGTCCGCACGGGCTCCATCCTCTCCTCCATCTCCTCCCTGGACGACATCTTCTCCTGGGGGACGCTGGCCCAGCTGCTGGGCATCGCCCTCGTGGCGCTCCTCCCCGGGGCGCTGATCAAACGCTACGGCGGAGATCACCTGCGGGTGGAGACCGAGGCCGAGGTCGAGCCGGACCGCAAAAGGCGGTGATCCCAGGGACGCCAGAGGAGGAGGAGGACGCCACGGCGGGTGAATTTGAGACGGAGGGGGGTCCCACCACCCGGCTCTGAACCCTTTGGATCATCCAGACACTCGTCTTCATCGCCTGGTTGCATTTCGTCCTCCATCGCCGCAGCGGTTGGACATATGGACCTTCTGTCCAGTGGCGAGTGATCACCGGGCAAAGTGAATGGAGGACAACGGGGATCTGTGAACATCTCGCCTCTTGAAGCACTCACACACGTCTTAATGTGGCTGCCGTCCCCGGGGACACGTCAGCTGTGACCTCACGACAACGGAGAAGATCTTACATGGATGGATGTGTCCACTCTTTTCCCACCTCAGAAAAGAGTTTTTTTTTCGGATTTTCCATCAGCCGAGAGTTTCCCATCATGCTTTGCAGTCGGAGGAGAGGGTTTGTTGTTGTAGAAATAACTTTGCATTTAGAGAACTCGAGGAGATTGTACTCGTCTTTGAGAGGCCGCGTTGATTCCGTCAGTCAATGATGGTGGTATTTATTATTTATTTATATGTGCGTTTTGTAGGACAGTTTTTACATAATTCTTAAATTCTAGCTCCTCATTTAGTGTTAACTGACAGTCAGACGCTGATGTTCTTGAAAAAGTAAAAATACAACCATCCTCTACTGCAATATTTGGATAAATTTCAAGATTATCTTTAATAAAAATGTGCTGGTAGTATTTTGGATATTTATTATCATACAAACTAAACACGTCGGGCTTTTTGTGTCCGTACGGAGACGCTTTTATAAATATAAAATCGCATTTTGTTGAGAAGAACTAAAGTTCTAAAGGGCTCAAGACTGTAGTTCTACTCCAATCTTCTCGGGGGAGACAATCTTTAATATCTTAATATTTTTGTAAATCAAACGTCTTGTGTGTTATGTAATAAAATCTGTCGCGTCTGTTAAATCAATCATTCAATCAATCATTTGTGTCCTTACGAAGACAAACGAGGGGTTTTGGATGCAAACAGTAATTTATTTGTGACTCTCAGTCGTTACAACACACAACATCCGGTTACACTGATCCTGTGGACCCACAACACACAGAAACTCTATTCTTTCTCACACAGACACACACACACACACTGTAGAGACATGCTTGTTCATGCACACACACACACACCTTCACATCGGCATCGGAGGCCACTCGCCTCAGTAAACACGAGTCATGTGATGCAGTTCAACACCGGCACTTTTTCAGCAAGACGATCTTCTGAAAAGTTCTCTCACATGCGACGAGTGACTGATGTACAAATGGTGATTCTATGGAAACGGCGGCGGAGACCTCAAATCGGTCCAAAACAAGCGTTTCAGAGGTAACAAACGTCTGCGGCAGCGTCGTCACGGGTGATACCGTTCCTGTGAGTTGCATAATTGAAAGAAACGTGAAGGATTGTTGTTCTCCGGTCAGTGCTGCTGGACTCGTGCGCGGAGCCCAGCGAGGTCAAAGAGACGCGACGTGCAAAATATCAAAATGCCGAAACAACATGGAGGTACAAGACGGTTACTGGCTCTCAGCGAGCAGCTCGTTGGCTGAGAGCAACACACGGCAGTCTGCTCCCGTCACAGGAAGAAAAAATACATGTGGGGATGAAAAGGTGATGATTGATGGCAACTTCAAAAATGTTAAGTTGGTGCACAGAAGTAATTGATATAATTACATTTTATTTCCCAAGGTGACTAAAGTAAAAAAAAAAATAAAAAAAAGTTCTGCTCAGCTGAGAAAAACATTTGAACCAAATAGTTCCACGACCAAATAGAACCAAAAGAACAAAGGCCAACAACACTTTGGGAACCAGGAGAAGTACGAGCAGGGAGCGCTTGTTTCCTCCTCTTTGTCGTCTCCACAATGGCTCATTGGCTGGATCCAGATGCCTACGCGCGTGACACCGCCCCACAAAACAGCTGCTCACTCAAATCGAACCCACCTTTGAAAGGGAAGCCGATCACATGACCTGAGACCACTGTCCCCCTCTAACCCCACCCCTCCCCTCCGTGTGAAACGGCACAGCAGGGAGGGTTTATCCCAGAAGCTGTGGTGCAGGTCGCCGCCCTGCTGAAGGGGAACGCCGTACAGCCGGGCCTCGGCCCTCCCACCAGGATGGAGGGGGGGGGGCGAAGCAGCACCACGCGGGCGAGAATCAGTGGCATCGTGAGCTCGGTCGGCGCCGCGGAACACGTGGGGAACATGTGCATGGTGGCCATTCTCAGGCCGGGTGGAGGGGGGGGGTCCTGATGCAGGTGGGGGTGCTGAGGCTGATAGGAGGAGGGGCATCTCAAGGCCTCCTCTGGTCCTCCTTCTCATCTGGGCCTGTCGTCATCAGAGGAAGGATTCACCCGTCGAGGCGCTCACACTCTCCCCTGAGACACTTAGGGGTCACGGGTCGGGGGGGGGGAGGAGGGTCCGGGGGGGTCAAAGGGCAGCAGAAAGAAAGGAACAGTAGAAACAACGTGTCACAATCAAAGAAAAGAACCTTCCAGAAAATAAATGTTTCAGGAGACATTTAATTTCTTCACAATGCTTCCTGCTAAAAGCCACTCACAGTATTTATTCATTGTAAACAAAAGAACTAAATGCTGGACGAAGAAGCTCAGTAGCTGCTGCAAAACAAATCAATCACAGCGGGGAATTAAATCAGAAACTTAATAACACGTGGAAACGAAGAGGGACAGCTGAGAAGTTCAGAAGAAATCTGGTTTAAAAGTCTCTTTTACTTTGCACAGGCTGAACTCATCAAATAAAATGATGAAGAACAGACGGGTTTGGAATATCTTACACATTTTGACGTGCTTTCCAAAGAGAAGACAAAGCGTGCCGCGTATAACACACACACACACACACACACACGAGTACCTGCGCGTGAGCACCATGTCTTGTACACACTGGTCCTTGTGGTAGCGGACAAACTGGGTGCAGGTGAGTCTGACCTCCTCTGGTACACCTGAGGGACTCGAGTCCTCCGCGTCCCTGCCCTGCCACAGCCACAGCAGCCTGACACACACACACACACACACACACACACGTGTTCCTCACAAAAGCTCCGGTGAACCTAGAAACCACAAATGAGCGTCTGCCTCACCTCTTCCTGAAGGGCAGGATGATGAGGTGTCTGTCCAGACCGAAGATCCCAAAGGACAGGAAGCCCTGGGACAAAGAGGGTTACTGGGGATGCCGTTGGTGCGGCGCTGGGTTACTGGGTCACTGGGTCACTCATACCTGTCCGTAGTTGGCCACGGCGCAGAAGAACTGCAGCTCCAGGTAAAGTCTTCCCGGGTCTTTGTTGAAGAGCCACCACAGACAGCTGGACAGGTTCTGCGTGAGAGAGGGACACAGCAACCGATCAGGTAACGGGACGCTTTTTTAATAATAATCTACATTCCCCGACCTCTCGGACTCCATCGCTTTCATGTAAGCATCTGGACGTTGGTAAGAGAGGGAAGGACTCATCCCAAGAGGTAGGCAGGGTAGCGTACTCTCCTAGCAGCACTTGTGTTCCAGCCCCAGAGGCGCCGTAAACAAACCAAGCGGACCCCGTCCACACAGAAGACACGGGGCGGCCCCTCTGAGCTCACCGCCAGCAGGCTGACGAAGAGCAGCAGGCAGAGCAGGACGTGTCTGGCGGTCTGGCGGTCGTCGGTGGTCTGCAGACCGGGCGGCGGCAGGTTCAGCGGCTGCTCGGAGGAGGAGGAGGAGGAGCTCCGCTGTGGCGGCTGGTCACACGGCGCCCCCCTGAGGCCTGGGGAGGAGGACGCAGACAGAGTGGAGGTTTTTATATTACTAGGAGTAACCCCCTGGTTCTATTTATACGACCCCCAATATCCCTGGTAATAAATAATCAGGGATCAAAGTCGTTACCTGCGCTGTTTGTGCGCTCGCTCTGTGTGCTGGCGATCATGTCAGGCATCGGCTGGAGAGGAGAGAAGCTCTGGAGGTCTAGAAACGCAACAGACATTACAAATATTACATATACACAGACACATTATCTGGTCAAGTTAATGGACTCATTTCAACGGTAATTATATTTAAAGTAGCTATTTTAACACGATCACAAAAGTTCTATTCATGCGTGTTCGCGCAGGTCGGAGCTACCTGAGGTGATGCTGCAGGCAGGAGAAGTAGCCACCTGAGCCCGTTGCTGTGGCTCCTCCAGACCGCCGGGGGTCCTCAGCTCGTCACCGATGCCCATCACAGCGGCTCTGTTGAGGGTTCGGTAGCCGCTCTGCTCCCGGTCCCCCTGGCTGAGGCCCATCAGGGAGACGGCGCCCAGCACCAGGCTGACCGCGAGCACCACGGCAGTGCCGATGATCTGAACGCCGCATGGACCACAACACTCACGTTATGTGTTGGCTTTGTGAATACACTCATTTAGTTAGGAACTAAACACTCACCGAGAGCCAAGATAAAACACACAGAAAAGAGCAGAGAGAGAAGCTCTAACCTGAGCTCGGCCATAGAAGAAGGCGGAGTCGATGGTGTCAGTCCTCTCTCCTGATATCAGAAGAGCCCCGACCACCAGGAAGGGAACCCTACACACACACACAGTACAATTATCATCAAAAGCACATTTTGAACTCCGACCTGCTGATTTGTAACAAGTTTATAACACAAACAATACAAAGTTTTCGCAGATAATCGGCGTGTGCGGCGACCTACCCCCAACCCAGAACCATGAACACTCCTGGCCGCAGCCTCAGCAGATCGTCCCGGTTAGTTAAAGCCAAACATAGAGGGATCAAACCTGAAAGACAGCAGAACATCTGCATCGTCACGGAGACCGAGGACTGCAGGTGGAAGCACCCGATTGGACGCGCTCATTTTGCTGTCAGAATGACCATTTTATCGCTTAACTTGGGCCCTAAATATGAGTAACGTCATGGTGGCCTCTGACCACCAGATTCTCACCAGTTGATATCATACTATTGCTAGTGGGTTTACTGGTGTCAAATAGGAAAGGAGAGGTTCTGAAATGCCACTAACACACTGACCCGTCCAAACGTAGGTGCTGTACAGAGACCCGTAGAGCAGAGTGAAGGTGAGAATCTTGGCCAGCAGATTGTCATCTTGTTTCCCCAAGAAGTTCCACAGGATCATACTGACACACACCAAAAACTGGAGAAGAGTAGAGTGCAAAGAGGCCGAGGTGGAATATGAGGTGAACCTTTCCTGGATGGACAACAGCAACTACAACACTTCTTTGACATGTTTGAGGCTTTGAGTCAAGTTGTTACTGACCTGAGCCAGGAAAAGATTTAAGGCAAAAAGGTGAGGAAGTCGGTTGAATTTCCTGCTGAGCAGCATCACCACGATGGTCCAGACCTGAGGGAAGAGTACACGGCACACGATGACGCGTTTTACTGTCCTCGTGACTCACGATCCCGACCGATCGCTTAACATCACCTTCTCAGATGTACGCGCGTACGTACCAGCGCCACCAGGCTGACGATGCTGATGTTGAAGCTGACGTTCTCCAGCTCCGTCACCAGGGGGGCGGGGTCCATTAGGGGGATCGTCAATAACCAGGCCGACACGTACATGATCGGCGCCGACAGAAACGTGCTGATCACCATCCCCGATGTCACCTGGAGGCGAGACATCACTTACTGACGGGGCTACCGGAGCACCGGACACAGGGAAGTCTGTGTCTTTTTCCGCGCACGAAAAACAGACTAAAGAAAGCCGGCCATGTTTCACAGCTTCAAAAAGGTTCCTCTCATTTTAGACCCGATTTATGCATTTAATGGCCTCTTTATTATACGTACTTTGCATTGAATAATCCCGTTTGAGTACCAGCGCCGATGCTTACCACCTCTAGCTCGACGTTGTAGTGTGCAGCATAGATGGCCACGCTGGGTGCGGTTGGGAAGACGCCGTATAGGAAAGCAAAGTTCGACAAGCTGGTGTGGTTGCGACTGGTGCTGTTCACTCCGACGTCCAGAATGTCCACCATGTCTTTACAGACCAGCGGCATCACCAGGCTGCAGAGGGACGAGGCAGAAAGAGACGTTAGCAAAAGGCACCAAAGACCAGAGGGCCGGGGGGGGGGGGGGGAACCCCGGCCGTTGCGCGGTAATTTAGGCCGCATCCCACCAATGCACAGAAGTTATAGACGTATCAGTCAAGTCATAATCCAGGCCTAAGGCAACACAGTCGCAGCTGACAGATTCAGGAAGGACAGCAGGTAATAAATCGTGTGTAAGCTGGTGAACTAAGCGCCTCACTGCCAGACGAAGAGCACAAGCACATCTGACTGCAGTTGGATGAGTGTGTTACTTGCAGTTTGGCTGTGATGAGGAGGATCAGCGCCACTCCAGTGTCTCTGGTTAGTTTTCTAAGCTGTCCGACCTGCCAAAGAAACGGAAACGTTGCTCAACTTTGGCTTCATTGTTCACGTTTACACATGACGCTTAATGTACAGGACGGCGCCAGAGGCTGAAAACAAAAACTACCATGGTGAGTCCGAGGTAAAACAAGGCCGCCCCTCCGAACGAGTTCGCCAGGCCGTCTATGAACTGGGCGAGCACAGCGGGGATGTGCTGGCCCAGGGCAAAGTGGGAGAGGATTCCCACCATCACCATGAACACGATCGGGTTCTTCAACACCTGCACGGGAAGACGCCATAACTTGACCTTCGTTGTGACCCCTAAATGTCAAGGTGTGTTACAAAACAGACACACACACAAACAGCACCTGCAGGAATACGACTCCGAGGACGCCGAGGGTGCCGTGTGAGTGGCTGGCCTGCCTCCACCTCTGCACCTCACAGAGAGCGAAGCCGATGGGGTTGAGCAGCATGAGGGAGACCGGCGCCACCAGATAGATGTACTGGAGGTACTCTGGATACGTGCTTCGGTACAGAGCGTCAACTAGAAATACACGAAGGGGAGGAGTCTCAATCACGGTCTTCGTCTTCCCGGGAGTTAGTGTACGAATACATGAGTGCTTCGCGCGCTCCTCGCCTATAGGGTATCCTAAGGCGAAGTCGTTGCTCTGCGTGGCGAAGATGGCGTACAAGCCCGCCTTGCTGTACCGGCAGTCTGGACCGGCCACCATCAGAGTCAACACACATACCAGCGCGAACATCGTCACCTGCACACAGGAGGGAGGAATCCAGGACGGGTTGATCTCAAACCACCGTGATGTAAAAGTACTTACCCAGTATAAAGTGTCACCGCACACACACACACACACACACACACCTTAGCGACCAGGACACTCCAGAGAAACGCCCAGATGACGTTTCCAAAGTCCAACAGCACCATGTTCTTAAAGAGGAGGGCCGGAAGAGCAAACTTGGACACAAAGCTCCCCAAACCCTTCGCCTGGCTCTGTGTGATGACGTCTGCCCTGTGGGTCGGAACGAAGCAGGTCACCACAAATGTTTCCACGCATGCGGCGATGTTCTCCGGTCACCATACCTGCCGGCTATGTAGCCACACAAGATGATGCCGAAGCACTCGAGGAGAGCCGGGAAGAGCTTGTCGATGGACATGTGCGGCCCCGCAGCAGGGCCTCCCGCCGCCGCCGCGCTGTGGGAAATGTTCTTCCCGTGGATCAGCACGTAGCTGTTGGCGGTCTCCATGGTGATGATGGGATGGAGGGGGTGGGGGGGTGTCGGAGCGGTCAGGTGATGGCTAAGGAGGGAAAAAGTAATGACAAGCATACATGATAGATTGGGGGCTTAACAGAGGGCGTACGCAAAACCACAAGACCGATTCTAATAAGTAAAGGGACATTCTCTGGGGGGTGGGGGGGGGGCGTGGGCCCCCGGCTACGTCATACGCCCCTGTCAGGGGGCTACAATGTCTGCTGGTTAGCAACGAATTTCTCCTGACGACCCTCAAGCAAAGTTGAACTCGGCTACATCACGTGATGACGTCCTGGTGACCGTTAGCACTAGCTAGCAAAAACATCAGGGGATACAGGACCGTTAGTTGAATTTCCCGTTAACATATTTAATAATCGGGCATTGATATGTTACAATAAAATCCTGCGTTTAGAAGCGCGGTGCTTACCTTTATTTTACTTAGAACACCACCTCGGCTCCGAAATGAGCGGCATTCACCGACATTATTCACCTGTCCGGCTGTCCGAACGAGCCCGTGTTTTTCTTCCGCTGCTCCTGAATCTGGCAGCTGGCGAGAGTGGCAACGCCCACAAAGGAATGACTGACAGAGGATTCAGCCAATCACCGCCGAGATAAAGTCCACACTCCAAATGGAGGAGGCTGCTCCATAAAATGACTGACAGGCCGTTGAGCCAATTATCACCGAGGGAGACTTCAGACTCTGTGATTGGATAAAAACGTGCTTCGCGACGCTCCATTCATTCGATGAGGGAAACGATCATGACCGTTGGACCGTATTATGTTTTTAATAGAACCAGTTGTAATATCAATACAAAGGCAACAAAGGTTTAAATAAATGCAGCAGTAACTCAAATAAAGAAATTGTGTAAAATGTATTTGTTACTGTCGCTAACTGCCTATAATTTGTAACATTTTATTTCATACTATTTACATTTTTCTATTAAGTTTAATTTATTACCCCCGTTGACATATCGCAACGGTTCTTTTGGGCGTAACTGTTACGGTAGATTTTAAATGGAAGATTTCTTTACGCTGTCAGCTTGATTATTACATAAATAATAACAAAATACCACCATAATGTTGCCCTTCAAAAAGCTATAATTTTCCAACACGATTCCATGACGTACATCTTGTACATCACGACACAGTTTCTTCTTGACTTTATTGCACAAACGTGTAAGTGATGCATACTGTTGATCTCAGAATACAAAATAAATCCTTCATCTGCTTGTTTGTGATCAATAACTGAACATGTCACTGCAGGTAAAGCACAATAAGCATCTTAAAGCATTTTTATTTATTGATGTAAATATCTTTACTTCCATATGATTGTCTCTTTGACCGACACATGATAATAGCACATCCCACGTACAAATGACCATTCAAAGCCGAGCACGGGGAAGCAAAACAACATATTACAGGATAGAAACATAACTTAAAATAATACAGTCCTTCAATACCTCTTGATTAAATCAGATACACACGGCCCCTCGTGCCAAATTAACGCAGCTTTTAGCAAAATAGTAAATAAAAAAAATATGTCTTCCAATGAACAAAAAAGCATCACAATCATAGACATCGTCACAGTTAACAATGAAAAGAAAAGTACCGCTCAGTGGTTCCAACAGAAGACACAGATGGAGATGCATGTACTATGAAGGCACACATGGCTTTGGCAAAAATGTCAAAATAAATAAATAACCACATCCCTTTTCCCCCCGACGTGTTTCTGCAGCGGTGGAAAGAGGTCGTGGTCATTTCTCAGTTGGGTTGCATGTCGGCCTGCGTGTGGATCCTTCGCTAGGCCGAGTGTTCTACTGCAGGCTTCATTTTACCATCAGCAGAGGTGATCAATCCAGCTGAACACACACACTTTAAGGCACAGACGGCTTACTCCCTTAACTCTTTGAAGCAGCCTGAAAATACAATCCTGAATAGAAAAAAAAGGCTTGACGCGAGTCGAGAGGCAGCAGAGGAGATAAACCCGTCTGATCGGTTGCATTTACTGACCCTGGTGCACGCGCTATATGAACAACGCTGGTTTGCTTGTCGAGTAAGTGTTTTGTTTCATAAGAGACGTAGCTGGTTGGTGTAATATAATGTCTTGCAAGCAAAATATGGAATCCATTATACCCGGTAAAATGAAAATGGGTGAAAAAACGGTTAGTTGATGGAAGTCAATGTGATTTAATGTCTCACAGGAACCAGGTCAACAAAGCCCTCTGACTGAAGTCCAGCGACAAAAAGGAGGTCCAACTTTTTTGTTTTCCCTCTGAACACGGTGTACCGGAGAATAAACAGGCTTTGGTCTTCACTGCTACAGACGCACATTATTATTATCAAACCAAACTTTGAGTCCATCCCGTACAACAAAAGCCCACCGGTTATCGGGAGGTTCTCGTACTGCGTGACCAGCGTGAACACGATGAAGTCCGACACATTGGAACAGCATAAGGACACAAATAATACTCCCAACGTGTCCTGTGTGGAATTTCTGCTTTCTAAGATGCACAAAGAGAGAAATACCTGCTAAAGGAAGGAAGGGAACCGCTCACTACAGCAAGTGGGTCGAATTAGTTAAGATGTTTGTATTGATATTGTTACACAATGGGCTCTGTTTTATAGTAATATTGTTGTGCTTATGTGCATATTTAGATTTATAATCGGCCTCGAACAGAATAACAGCAACATATTCAGGAAGTATAATTCTGAGAGTTAAAAACTACTTAAAAGTAATAAACAAGCCATTATTTAAAGGCCTAAATAACAGCAGCACAACAGGTCTGGACCTCAGGTAAGCTAAAGTCGTACCAAAGAGAGAATACGAAACACGGGATGATCGGTGAAGGAGTCCTAAATCACTCGTACGAGGCACTGAGAGCGCGTTTGTTCGCAGGAGTGGTTCCAATGAGCGAAACAGAGAGAGAAAGTAGTCCCGGGGTTCGTGTTTGCTGACACCTCTTCTTCACCTGGGTAAAGGAGGAAGAGGAGGAGCTCCTCGCTCATTTTTGCCAGCACCTGGAAAGAGGCAAAGACACAGGGGAGTTTGGTATCTTCCTCTTCCTCAGTTCCCCGGAGGAGGTTTAGTTACCTCCCACCAGGTGTCGCTGTTTGACACCTTTAGCTCAGAGGATGCGGACTCTGTTAAACCTCATATTACATATGATGGGAACATACATTTGATCACACACACACTCACATTGCGGGGACACACCCTTACTTTCTTAGGGACAAAATGGACAGAAAAAAATATACATCACAATAACATAATTCACTACATTTTAGGTCAAGAATGAAGGATTGTATCCTGTGTGTGTGTGTGTGTGTGTGTGTGTGTCTGACCTCTCCCGTCAGTCTTGCCCAGCTTGCTGGGGTACGTCTTCTGGAAGTGTACGTAGGGCTCGGGTGGAGGAAGGTCCGACACCGGATGGAATGTGAAGCGATACTCCCACTCATCTGTGTTTAAGAAGAGGCGGCGGTTAATCACATGACTGAAAGGTCGATAGCTCTGGCGTGGAAAAGTTATGGTAAAAGCCATTTATTTAAGTGCCAAATTGAAATCGATTAGGAATCCAAATGAGACGGTCTCTGGCGTTCAAGGACAGTCCAATGCGTCCATGAGCGAGAAACTTGAGTAATAAACAAGCATGTAACACAGGGGTCTCAAACTCGCGGCCCTCGGGACGATATTTTGTGGCCCCATCCTTAATATGAAAGTGTAATGTTAGTGCGGCCCGCAAGTTTTATACTGTAACCCCACTGTCAGCTGCTGTGTGGGACATGTTATGATGTTCTGGTTTCCTACTGTGTGCTTGTCCAGTGAACGTGGCATGCATGTGACTGACATGGGGGGGCGGGTCGTGTGTGTCGGCCGAGGTGCAGAGAGCAGGAGGGTGAAATTCAGTTTCCTGCCCTCTTTCGCGCAGGTGATCATGTGACTAACCGTTAGCATCGCTCGTTTAATAAAGTTTTCCTTTACGACTCACACTAACAACACATGAAGCATCTGACGTCACCGACGAGCGTCTCCGTCCATCACTACGCAGCTTCCATTCACGTAACTTCACGTTTGGCTATAAAGGAATTCCACGGTCACATGACCTTAGGTCTCCCCCGCTGAGTTAAAGGAGGACTAGTGTTGTAGTCTCATTCGGACCGATCCTCCAGGGTGGGGTTCAATGACTGCTTTTGAAAGTGAGTGTTAAGTTGTGTTATTGTCGACCATGCCGTTCGGACGCTAGTCTGGCCCGCGTTCGGTTGAAGTGGGCTGCATCTGGCCCGCAGCTGATTTGAGTTTGAGACCCCTGATGTAACATGTGTTACGTTTTATACCAAAATACATTAAAACCCAGAATGCTAATTTCAAAAATCCATCCTGTAAATGCTACAAAAGCCAGTGCCATCAACGCATGAGCATTGTGAACTTAATAGGATTCAAACTTTCACCCCCGCCTGTCTCCACACACGTCGGTTCAAAGGGATAAAAACAACACACACTTGGGCCAGCGGCTTCCTCGGCCTCAGTGGAACTCATGTGAACTCATGTGGTAAAAACAACACTGAATCTCTGTCGTAGAAACTGTGAGAAAGGAGTAAATCCTCCACAGGGCGCAGACTTCATCATCTGCTTTTTTAAAAAAAAAGGTCCCACGAGCAAACGTGGACTGACAAACCAGAGCTTTGTGCTCCTCCGTCTGCGGGGCTGAAACTTCAATCGACTCATTAAACCGCGTTCAAACTTCTTGCTCACCCTGCATCTGGTTGTGGTGGGAGTTTTGGAAGCCGTTACCCATGTGGGCTGGTGGTGGTGGGGGGGCCCCTCCGACGCCCGGCCGGTCCGGAGGGAGGGGGGGTCTGCTGCCGGTTCCCCCGCGGGGGGGCTCCGGGCCCGGCCGACCAATGGGAGACGGCGGAGGTAATGACCTCAAACTGCCCCCGCCCACGCCACGGCCTGAGGGAGGGAGTGGGGGAAGAGGCCCTTTGGGGGAAGAAATATGAACTGCTGTGTTAGCGATGAAAAGTGGATCCAAGTATTAGTATTATTATCCAAGTAATCCATTCAATCAATCAATCAATCAGGGCTGTTCACCTGAGCGTGTGGACGACTGGTTCCTTCCAAGAGATGGAGGTCTCTCTTCTGGTGGAGGAGGGCGAGCACCCATCCGACCTTGTGGCAGAGCTGGAGCTTGGCTGCAGAGGAGGAACAGAGTATTACAGCAAACTGCTTATGTGGCGAGTAAATAATGAACGAGAACGAGCGGCTGGCCTCCTCTTTCCTGCTAATCAACTTCTCTTTTTTTGGGGCGGGGGCAAAGGGGTATTTAGAGGGAACTTAGGCTCATTAGATCCAAAAAGAGTCTCGGCTTTCCAGTAATACCCAATGATTACAAATTCGGAAACCTTTTACGAACCATGCTAACAGGTTAGCATTGGGTTAGCGCGCAGAGAGCATGGCAGCGAGAGGAGAGCGGTACCTAGAGCTACATTAGCTAGCGGGACGCTAAAGGCTGGTCTAACCAGACAGGACTCCCGCTACCTGCTGAGCGACACGTTCCTCTGGGGCAGGCGGGGGGTGTTGTGGTCGTCACCGCCAGCCGGGGAGGACGGGAGAGGAGGGGGGCCCGGTCGGCCAGGCGGTAGGGGGGGCGCGCCCCCTCCGGCCGAGGGACGGAAGGCAGAGGAGGGCGAGACGGGTGGAGGAGGCTTGGAGTTGCCGGAGGGAGGAGGAGGGGGGGGCACGTCGCGGGGCATAGACGGCCGGTGGCCTCCCAGGGGCGGCGGCGGGGGCCGGTCGTCGGGGAGCGGGGGCCTCCCTCCGGGGGGAGTTGGAGGGAGGGAGGGTCTGCTGCTGTTCGGGGGTGGAGGAAGGGGTGCAGAAAATCCCGGTCTGGGCCCAGCTGGGGAGCCGCCTGGTGGGGGAAGTCCCTGCCGGCCCGGCGGAAGACCAGGAGGCGGAGGTCCAGAAGACGGGGGCGGCCTGGGTCCCCCGGGGAGGGCTGGCGGAGGAAGCCCCCCACGGGGCTGGAAGGCCTGGCTGGGTCGAGGCGTGTTGGGCACCGGCGGGGGGCCTCCTGGAGTGTCTTGTCTGGACGAGAAACTCGGCCGGCCCTTGGGAAGATCGGGGACGTTGCCGCGGCCGCCAGCGGGGGCCCCTGGGAGTTTGGGCGGTCCAGTGGAGCCCCCGCCCCCACCGAAAGGGGTGGGCCCACCAGAGCGACCCCCCGGGGGGAACACAGGCCCTCGGCTGGGTGCGGAGTCTGACGGAGAGAAAAGGCCCAAACATAAACATCAGCTTTGTTTCCGTGTTTATTTCCATCAGGAGTTCATGACCTTTTATTTAACACCTCCTTTTTTTTACCATTTTTAACAGCGCTTCCTGCAGACCTCAGTTTTGGAATCCCTCCTGCAAACAGGCCTCCTAACCCAGCAGGAGCACCACCACCACCACCACCTCCTCCTCCTCCTCCACCACCACCTCCACCACCTCCGCCTCCGCCTCCTCCTTTAGGTTCTAAGGAAATATAGAAAATACATTGATTTGTACATAAAACTATCCATGAAAACCAATGAATCTATTAAACTCTCTGTTATGAATAGAGCACCACCACACACACGGCATAACGTATTATTGAGGGAGATTTGATTTCCGATCGACTGTGGCTCCAGGCGGACGTTGACTTACTGTCCAGCAGAGGCCCGCTGCGGTCACAGGTCACAGCTTTCTTTAGTCTGGAGCCTTTAGCGATGTCAGACAGCAGAGCGTTCCTTCCACTCTGCTCCGAGCGGTTCAGACTCGGCTTCTCTGTGTTGGCCTGAAACGCAAGACAGTTTAAATCTTCACGGAACGCGTGTCACTATGCGAAGGTTCCACGGGACGTCTCAGCTGGGCTGGGTCGAGGGGACGGTCTAACCGCGCAGACAGACTTACGATAGAAAAGGTGGGAGGGGGGCCTGGCGGCGGTGGGGGAGGAGGGGGCGCCATCTTCCTTTCCTTCCACTTCACTCGTGTGCACTGGACGCTGCACCCTGGAGGACGAACAGAAGCGTCACCGTGGGGGACTGAAATGTCTCCAATCCAGATCCTCCACACAAAGATGGTCTACATGCTGACGTTCTTAACACGGGTCATCGGGCCAGGTGCACTGGGCCCCCCAGCAGAGGGAGAACCTGGACCAGGTCTTCCACGCTGTGACTTTGGCAGTAAGGATGAACGCTGAAGCCTTTAAAGACGCCCAGAAACTAGAGAACCGTATTGTGTTGTAGTGAGAAAACACTTTGACTTCGTTAATGGCGTCAAGTGCTGAGGGCTTCAAAACAACCCTTCAGAAAATGCATATGAATTAAAATGGAATAAAAAGACATAAAATGACAATGTGTCATTGACAAAAGAGGTAAAGCGGTCAAGTCTAATTATTGTTTCATCTAGATATTTCAATTCAACCTTTAGATCCTTGCGATTATCGAAGGGTCACGATGAAGTGAAGAGAGGATATAGAATCACTCGGATCAGCTGACAATGAGCTCACAACCGAATGTTTCATCACAGAGGAACCTAAATGTTAAGTTCCCTAAAACATGCTGTATATGTGCAGCTTAGTTTTGTATTACTGACTTCCAGCACCTCCTCATCTCACCTGCACGGCCTGGCAGATAATTAAGCGCCTCACTATCACACATCTTAATTAAAGAGCTTCAATAGAAAGCTGTGAAATAAAATGAAGAAACGTGTATTGATAGGATGATGCTTATATCGCACAAATGGTATTTAGGCCAAATTCATAGATTTTCCTATAGAGACATGAGTAGTAAATGGAAATGGTTTTATCACCAGTTAAAACCACAGGCGTCAAACTCAAGGCCCGCGGGGCGAATCCGGCCCGCCGCATGACTTTGCTATTGTGAGAATTACAGAAGGACATAAAGTGCTGTTCTATAAAAGTAGCCGCTGTCCCTAAGACGTCCACTGGGGGTCGCACTCTGCGAGTGAGCGCATGCGTTAGACCAGGAGGACCCGGTTGATCGCCGCCGTGCCGGCAGATCGTCTCCCATCGCGTGGCCGCTTCTGACAGACGGCTTCGTTGTTGTTGTTGTTGTTGTTTTTTTATATTGATTCGTTTTACGCTCCCGATGTGCAGCGCTGTTGTTGCGTTGGGTTACTGATACTGCTCAGAATCATTACTGCTTGGGCGAACTGCCCTGGCCCATGGTCGATCGCCATGACGCAAAAGTGTGTCCAAGACGCTTGCGTTAGACCTCTTCCACCACGGCGTCACTGCAGGCAGCAGCGCCCGCTTGAAAATGACTGCGTGCCCCCCCCCCCTCAGTCGAAATCTGCCCGTTTCCCTTTCACACAGCTTGGGCTCACACAACACCACCCCCCCGCGCCTGAGAGGTGTCTGAGGTGTAGCGAGGGGACTCACGGGATGCACGAGCGCGCACCAGAAACGGAGGAGCGCGCGGTTACGACCCCTTGTCCACATGAAGAAGTTTTCCTTTATCCCTATCAGGACCAGATTTTTCCACCATCGGCGGCTATTCAGATCCCTGGATTCGAGCCGTCCACCGTGGAGCTAATTTGATGGATCTATTTCCACCTCCTCCTCCAAAAAAACCACCGGCGAGTGACGGCGTGAACGTCCTGCACGTTTCCACTGCGCTGACCGCTGCAGATGTGCGCGTGTGTGTCTTCAGCCTCAGCGAGACGCGTCCAGCAGGAGCTGAGCCAGCCGCTTCCTCGTGGTGACACGAGGAGACGACCAACAGGAAGCCCCTGCTTACATCGCAAACCGCTCCGCTCAAAAAGATCTCCACTGACTAAGAAACTGCAAGCGGAGTCTATTTGTGAGCCGATGCTCAACGTGCTGCGGAGACCGAAGAGAAGGCAGAAAAAACATCGACTTCCGCTGAAGGAAACCGGCCTGTGTGTTGTAATGAATATGCACTACACAACTTTCTCCCTCTATTGCACGCACACACATATTAGCTTAGCATGCACAATGCCTCCTTTGATAGAAACAGAGGAATGAGAGAGGGAGATATGAGGATCCTTTGAAGTGGCACAGACACACACACACACACACACACACACACACACACACACTGATGCTCACATGTGTTTCAGTTTTCAAACGGCCATAAAAAGGCGTCTTCATGCTGCTGCCGCGGAGCCTCTTCCTGCTCCTCGTTTACACATTTGTGTGGGTAAGAAGCCCTGAGAACAGCGTTTTTGTAAAGTTTGACTTGGTAGCGCCTCTCGCAGCCTCCAAATGTTGCATTAATGCAACACATTAAAATGTTTATGCATAAAATATACATAAATGTGGCCTTTCTCACTCAAACAATAGTAAACGTTGGAGGTGCAAAAAAATGAACGCACACTTTGTGTAAAACAACCAACAACAAGTTTCAAATCAGATATATTAATGTAGACTCCTCTGAAGCTCATTAACAAAATAAAAATAATCAATGCTGAAAAAGGTAAAAGATTCTGAGCATGAGTTTTGGGGGAAAAGGGGAAATTGCAATGAAACCCAGGGAAGTAATAAACGTTTTGGCAGAGTAGGAACAGTGCTGAGTGGCTAAGCTAACATCCTGTGGTGTGACACACACACACACACACACACACACACACACACACACACACACACACACACACACACACACACACACACACACACACACACACACACACACACACACACACACACACACACCTCGCCTAATGTTTTTTTTTTTCATATTTTGACTCAACAAATTCGTTTTACCTCTTCAACGTTCTTCAAATAAAGAAATGAGTGCCGAATCCATTTTGTGCGTTCAGCGTTCTGTGGAAAAGCTTTTGTGTGTTTGTCGTGTTCAGAACGTTTCCTCTTAATACATTCATCCCCATCATAGTATCAGCAGACTAAAATAAAGGATTATAAATACATATCATTTGCTCTTTTCTTTGCATTTATTGGATTTTGGTGAATTGTTGTCTGCGGATCTCCTGCGTGGACTCTTGACCTCTCCTGACATATTTCTAACTTTATCATTATCTGGATTTTTTGCATTCTTACGTGTGCAAACAAACTCCAAATGCCTTTTTCTTTACTTTGTGTCACTGCTCAGGCCTGTTTATAGTGATCTACCTGGTTGAACGTACACGATTGAATGCTAAATAAACAGAACACGTCCTTTTCTCATTAACAGTGACAACGTTTCGTAGGCTGACCTTGACCTCTGACCGTCCTGAAGGGCTGCGCCTGCTGGGGTTCATAGAAACACTTGAACGCCCCCAAAAAATGACCCAAAACAATTCATCCCCACAAAGGAGATGAATTCACTTGGTATGAAACATGCCCGGCCGCCGTCCTCCAACACAAACCACAAGTCGCTCTTAAACTTGTCTTCTTTACAAACGTGGTCAAACCTCTGTCACAAAATGGGAAAAGAGTGTGAGAGACACCAAATTAAACCCGGGGGACAACGTCTCTACTTACTCAATGCGCGTCCATAGAAGAATCCGCAGTATGTTCAGAAGAAGCGGCCTGGTTCACTCCTCATAAAGGCGGCCACGCAGCGCTGGAGGAGGACAAAAGCGGAAGATTAACAGCATCGACGTCTTCGAACTTCTTGATTCCTCTTCCTCAAAACGGACAGCTCACATTCTGAGAAGTCCCGCTGCGAAACAGTCGGCCCTTTTATACGGCGCACACACACACTTCCTATTTTTCAGTTCCCCACCTGGGGGAGGAGGGGGGCGACTGAAACAAGCTTTTATAAACTGGGGGGGGAAACGTGAATCCACGTCACACGCGTCGTCCGGGACGCAGTCCCACAAAATGTGAAACTACACCCAGAGGCGTCTGAATTGCATTTAGTGAGCGGTGCTTTGCTGCTGCGTGCGCTCAGCTGCAGCGGCCGGTTGCATACTGACACAGAAGCAAGGGAGTGTGAGCTGCGATTTCCTGTCTGATGCAAATAACTAACAACGAGTCAAAAGGCTTATCTGCCTGCAAATAAGCCACCTCGAAAAGGGGATTATGCGGCAAATGCATTTGGAGATGTATACATGAAGGCCTCCACGCGTCGCTGGACAAACAAAAAGCACAAAAGGGAATCCGTCCTCTACGGTATAAAAGAAGAAGACTTTCCATTTAAATGCTGCTGGAGGAAAGCGTTCGCGTCGCTCCACGGCAGCCACTTCCTGTGCTCTCTGTGTCACACTTCCTGCCAGCAGCCGAGCGCGGTACTCTCTGCCTCGTCTCCTCTTTCCTCGTCTCCTCCCCTCTACCCGGCTGTTTCTCCCCGGCGTGAGGAGGAAGGCAGCAAATGAAAAGGCCGGTGCAGAACGAGGAGCAAACCAACGGCGGAGAGCTTTCACTTAAAACGGGCCTCCCTCGTATTCCTGCTACAGCCTTCTGATGTCTGCAGGTGGAACGGATGCAGGTTTACATTAAAAGTTCATTGCTCAGAAATCTGGATTGTTTTCCAAGTCACTTTTTATTGAAGAGATTATTTTGCAATCGCTCTTCTTTTTTTTTGCATTTTTGTCAAAACATAAATGAGTCTTGCATCGAAATAAAGCCCCACTAACTTGAGTTCTAATAAGAGTGTTTAATGCTGTCGTGCAGCCCTCAGTGTGGTGGTGAACAAACTTACTAAAATGACACAAAAAAAAAATTAAAAAAGAGCTTTCTGATCTACAGAGCACAATAAGGTCAACGACATCGACTCATAACGTTGGTCGTGACTCGTCCATGGGGACCATACGCAAAGCTGCACCCGTGAGCAGCTGTGACTATTTCTCCTTTGTGCTGAAACGCACTTCTTTTCTTGGGGTTTGGTGCCTGAACGTCCTTAAACCGTCCGGTTACCTTCACGACTCAGCGACTTAATCGATTAGGGAGGTTTAAAAATGATCAGTGCGACATTTCGGGGGAAAAGTGCTCCGTCACTTTCTGTCAGGGAGATGAGATGAATCGAGATGAATGCGTTAATGTGGAAAAAACAAAAAAGGTGCTGTTGCTTTATAACATAACCCAGGCTAGCCCTTTGTGCTAAGCTACGCTAACATTCTGCCAGCAGCTAGCAGAAAAATGGCCGACACGGCGGCAATAAAAATTGGCGTAGTGAATTAAGTAAATTGATGGAAGTGAATCGGTGGACAAGTTCTCACCGACGACCCTTCCGTGCCGTTTACAAACCAACAACTAAACGCGGCTTGTTGGATCTCTGACAAGAGGCATCGTTTGTATTCTCGGGGGAAACAAAAAAAAAAGTCACTTGCAGACACAAACGCTGAGGCATCAGTTGCAAATTGTTCCGTGGGAAATATCAAGTGTCAGTCTGCTCATTTCTAAAGCGGCGCCGTGGCAACAAGAGCCCGGTTGTGTCCCTCTGCAGTGACATCAGCCGCAGCCTTCTGGCCCTCTGAGAAGTACGAGTGTGTCATCAGGTTCAAGGTCTACACGACCAACAGCCCCTCAGATGCTCCCGTCCCAACGACTAAAAAAAGAGACCCCCCCCCCCCACCTCCTCCTCCTCCTCCAGTCACATGAACATCAGTGCGGCTCGCCTGCAGGCCAGTCAGTCACTTAGGGCGCTTTGTGATTGCACACAACACAACCCATGACTCACACACGCACACAGACACACACACACACACATACCGGAGGCCACTAAATGTCCTTCTACGTGCTTCAGAACGCCACGCCACACACGGCCCTTCTGCGTGCTCCATGTCTGAGGCGCCCCGAGGCCGCGCCTGCAGCTCGTTGCGCGTCATCCACCTCCACCTTTACTCCATCACTGACTTAAATCGTCCTCGGTGGATGGACGGGTCACATGCTGCGCGCAGGGAGTGGAGCACAAGGAGGGAGAACAGTGTCGTGTTGCGGGCCGGCCGTGGATCACACCCTGTCAAAACTCTGCAACTCGCAGTGAATGTCACACAACCCACAGGCTGTGGCGAGGGGCTTTTTGCGGCCTGACGGGTCTCCAGGGTAGGGGTTACCAGGCTGCCGTGGGAACCGCCAAATTGTCTTCTTCAAATATTTGATGGCGATTATTTAAATAGGAACGCAAGACCGACCCTCGAGAGACAGCTGACTCGGTGTCGCTTGAGGGCCCCACAATTCAAGGCCGTGATGCTGAAGGGCGAACGGATCCGTGGTGGAAGCCTTTCATCTGATGTGATGCATGAATGTTTAGACAATAACTCTCAGCATATGAGACTTATCTCGGCCTCATTGTTGTGTGCAGAATATCCTTATCGATCTGACTGCATCTCCTGCACGGAGCTCGTTCTGCAGAAAGAAGCGCTCTACGAAACAGGCGTGCACGTGCACATCACGTCAAAAAGAGTCAAACGGAGGCCGAGAGAGAGAGAGCAGAGCGCCTCCTCCAGCAGCCACTCTGCTGTCCTTCAAAAGGAGGCGGAGAATTCCATCCATTCAAAAGCAAGTCCATAAACTAAATGTTTACAGGAGCGGCTCGGCCTCGGGAGGACGTGTGTGTGCGTGTGTGTGTGTGTGTGTGGGCGCAGGTGCGTGGAGCCAAATGGCCTTCTGTCAAACATCCACACACACACACAAACACATTCCTCTTCAGTCTGACTCCGTGCCACTGAGCGATGTGAATGAGAAGTCCAACTAAAGTCAAGAGGCAAGTCTCTGTGTTTGCATGTGTGTGCAACCGTTGCACATGAATCTCCTCCACTCAACACGCAGCTCCATGAAAAGAAAAAACACCAAATATGTGGAAACACTGCAGTCTGTTCCCTCACAGCTCGTTCCCTCCTCTCTCTCTCTCTCTCTCTCTGCAAGGAAAATAAAACACAACTCTTAAGAGCACGTGCCTTATGTTCACATCGACCACACGTGACAAGCTGCAGCCTCGCGTCAGGCCAGTTTTTATGGAGGACATGAACAGGAAAACAGTTAACGCAAGACTCACACTGGCCATCATTTGAGGGAGGAAGGAAAAAAGCAGGGCAAACCTTGGATTGTTTCCAAAAGCCGTTGCTGAGCTCTGGAGCAACCGACCAAAAGCTCCTTAGCACGGCGGAGGAAGCCTTATCTTCACGCATCAGCCATCACTTCTGGAGGAGCTCCCGAGCTGCTTTCTGCAAGATGAACTTCTGTTTTTAGCGGAGGGGGGGGGGGGCGCGCTTGCAAACCCTGAGCTCGGGTCTCGCGGTTCCGCTCCACTGAGGCTATTTTTACACACACACACCCACACACACACACACACACACACACACGCGCGCACGCAAAGGCAAAATTCGAGCACGTACCTGTGTCAGGACGAGACGCGCAGCGCGAGCTAACACTCTTCCATCGAGCGCCAGAGAGGGGGGGGGGAGGTCTGCGCAGCCAATCCCGGACCCCGCACGAGAGGACGGGTCCGCAGAACGGCTCCACCCAGAGCCGTATGTAGACCGGGCCGCGCGAAGCGTGACCGGCGGAAGCACCGTTACTCCTCGGACCGCAGAAACGGCCAATGAAGGAATATAATATCATTGGTAATGTGAAAACAACGGACAAACTCAGATTTTTGCACAACAGCTAAGCTGGCAAAAAAGTTTGGCAGCTACAGTAAATGCTACCATTTAGCTAGCTAGCACTCGGTTTGAAGAAACGTAGGCTAAGCTAACCGTACATATTAAAGTATAAAAACGCATATATATATTTCGTATAATAAACACAGGCCCAGCATGGATACATTATAAAGTATGTCCTAGCTTTTAGAGGCGGTTTCTCTTGCAACAGGATTTATTGTTGCGTCACTTGGGACCTTCTTGGACCGTTGAAACGTGAAGCCCGTTTCAGAGCCGCTTTAATCGAGTTGCTGCCTCGAGCCGGCTGCTTTAGGTTGACTGAACTCTGCACATTCACGGCTCTGGACTCGGCTCGTGCAGCTGTGTCGGCTGGGACTCTTAGCCAAGGCTTTAGCGGTGATGCAATGTTTCCAGATGTGGAGCTAGAAAAAGAAATTCTACAGGCCACTAGTTGAGCCTTAGGAACAACAACCAGTTACCCACTACTTACAAAATATTTTTATTTTCAATCTTTTACAGGACTTTAGAGTAGAAGTTATAATAATTGGTGCATTTGGAACAGAGTGGCACCAAATGTCTTTCTGTGAGTGAACATTAAAAGTATATTATTTATGGTATAGTACAAAACCATATTATTTTCTGGAATAAATGACAATACGTTCACTTGGAGCTAATCACCCTATTCTAATTATACGTTATAAATAAGTGAATCTAATCCTTATATAATAGAGGAAACATTTTCCTATCATTTATTAAAAGGGCCGTTTTATATCAAATGACCATTTACCCTCTCCTTGCGCTTGACAAGCCATGTCATCACATTAACAGAGATTTGAAGCAGCGTTCCTGTTCGTTCTTACTAGCGGGAGATCTCGCCTGGTTGAGTGAGACGCAACAGAAAGCGTAGCTGCTCAGTGAGTCCAGTCAGGTGGGAGTGGGTGGACGGCATGTTGGACCACTCCGTGCTGGGGGCTCATAGTGCCAGATGGCCTCCTCAGATCAAATGGACTTCTCATCACCAACCGCCCACACCGGATGCGAAGGAAAAGAGGGAGGACGCCTCCTGGTGGATGAACGTGGACTTGGGAGATGAGATGTTTTATTGCGTTGAGTTCATCGCTGCTTTTAAACTAAACTGCTGGAATAAAATCATCATGGGTCGGGACGTTTCACATTTCACAACACTCACAGCACCACCACTACACGGCCTCAGAAAGAACACCGTGCAGTCAAGTCCTTTCCAACTGGACTAAATGCACACACACAGCTTGTGACCCGTGCATAAATAAATACAATTTAATACGTTCATGTTTGCGTGCATATATTTATAAATTAGTTCATGGTCAGTGGTACGAGACGCCACCTCAACCGCCAACCCCCCAGCCCTCCGAAGGAAGACTCTTAGAAGGTTAAATCAACAAAAGAAAACCAAGACAATGTATCGTTATTGAGTATCCATTTCCATCTTTAATAAAATGTCAACAGCATCAATAATATATACAGTTTTGGGATAGTCCCAAAAATTATGAAATGCATGTTAGAATTAGAATATAAAATAGGCAGTTTCATATTTATTATACATCGATGACCCCAAAAATTCCAGGTGAAAGAAAAATGTCACGACTTAAACCCAAATATTCTGCTTTAATACTCTTTAGATGCAGAGGTTATTCTGCATTTGTGTCCACCGTTCCAGCTGTTCACACCTGGATTGGTGATGCAGGATGTGCGTGGAGCCAAATTCAGGCCAAAAGTTTGGATTGTTTGAAAAATAAATGAACTTGAAAGTTTAAGTTTTGGTCTCGAACATTAAAAAAAAAAAACAATGTATTCAAAATAAAAATAAGTGGACGAAAAGTATTTTGGGGTTGAATATAGTTTGTACTCGTGTTTTTTTTTTTTATAAAATATTTATTTTCTATTCTTCACTTGAATTTATTTTTTAATATTCGCTGTATTTTATTTTTCGGTTGTAGATTTTGTATTTTCAGGTTCCATTTTCTTTTTTCCACTTTCGGATTGTGTTTTTTCACATTCAGACCTTTGACCCTGGCGTAGGGGGCGGGGCATCAACTGAGAGGGGCGTGTAATCATGAGTGACAGCTTAACAAAATAAGGCTGGGGACAGATTCGGACCTTCCGGTTCAATAGCTGGTCAGCGAAACGTCGTTAAAACACAAACGACACCTCTCTGTAACCGCAGTGATGTCGACAACCAGCTACAACCCCAATTAACCATCATTTGTGCGCAGGGGCCGTCTGACATCACCATGGTAACAGAGGATTTCGTTTGTGTTTTAACGTTTCGCTGACCAGCTATTGAACCGGGAGGTCCGAACCTTCGTTAAGTTGTCACTCATGATTACACGCCCCTCTCAGTTGATGCCCTGCCCCCTTTTCCACATCAGGATCAAAAGTCCCTGAATGTGAAAAAACACAATCCGAAAGTGAAAAAAAGACTTTAAAATATAAAATCTACAGCCGAAAAATAAAATACAGCAAAAATCAAAAATTTAACTAAAAAAAAAATGTAAACTTATTTTTAATTTTGAATACATTGTTGTATTTTTCAAATGATTAAAAGTTTGGACCTGGATTTGGCTCCGTAGACGTGCGGGTGGAGAGAGAGCTCGGCGCAACCTTCAGTGGTCAAAGGTCAAGAGTCAAACATTATTGGCCGCCCGATGGCTCAGAGCAGCAAAGACGACAGCGCTGATTGGCCGCTCAGATGCCCCTAGTGGGGGTCAGGCACTGGTTGACCACCTCGAGCAGTGAGGAGTTCTCCAGAGCCGCCGCGACTCTCTCTTTGTCCGCCAGCTGTTTGTTCACTGCACAACGTAAAACCAACCCGGTAAGAAAAGCTGCTGGAAATATGAATGTAACATCCCCCATCATGCACTCTGTCTCCGCATCTACCTGCTTCCTCTGAGGCGTGAGTCCCAGGAGTGATGTGGACATCGATCTGAGGAGAACAAACAGAACTCCATTCATCCCACGTGGTGTGTTTATATCAAGTCATCAGACGTTCATCATTAGAACACACACACACACACACACACACACACACACACACACACACATACTTTGAACCGGTCTGGCAGGGAGCGTAGCAGCTTGACTTTGATTGACAGACCAATGAGTGTTGCCATGCTGCAGTGGGGGATCGTGGGCGTGAACTCGATGCCCACGATGCTCTCTTCGTCATTGACCTGAGGAAACAGGAAGCGACGTAATTAACAAACCCCAATGAATAATTGTGAAGGACGTTTGTCTAATTGAACCTAATTATTTAAAAATTGGAACATTGGTAGCTGGTTGGTACCTGCACGCGGACCTGCTCCACCACGTTGAGCTCCTCCAGGGACAGAGGATGCTCCGGGTCGTTGATGGCTCTGATCAGATGTGACTCAAGTTAAAGAATCTAAAGGCAACACAATCAAAACAACACAACCCGTGTGCGCATGTGCAGCACTCCTGTGTAGTCCGTATGTTCTTATTATGGGGGACATGACAACTACTGCAATGCTCTGTTTTTAACAAAGGTACATGGTGATAGAGAGTCACTCGATTGCATAAGTAGCTACATTTGTTTTTGTATTAATCCCATTAATTTAAATTCGTGGCTATAAAATAAAATAAGTTCATTTAAAAATGCACTTTAACGAGCACAAACGCGGTGTTAAGTGACGCGGTTAGCATAGCAACCGTTAGCTTAGGCTAAAACCGGATATCGAATATTTCCCTGTCGTCAATGGGGTCGTGGACGTCCTCGTCCTCGTCGTTCGACGTCAGCAGCCTGTCGCCGGACCGCTGGAAGATCACCGGGTTGGCGTTCTCTAACTGGGACATGCTGTGAGACGTCAACTGCGTCCACGTCAATCAAAGGATGTGCGCAGCGCACAACTACGCCAGCGCCAGTGTTCGACGAAACGACGGAAAGCGACAAGGCCCAAAAAAGCGAAAGAGAAAGTCTAAAAAGGGGCAGCGCGCGCTTCACGTTGTTCATCGGAATATGTGCCGCACGCGGCGGTGGGAGAAACGAGGTGGAAATTAATATGAATGCACTGCAGCATTTGATCCCAAAATATGATTGAGATTACTCGTAAGCAAAGTCCTTCTTCCAAATGTACGTCAGCATGTGACTTCCTGTTTGTCCTGCAGGTGGCGGAAACTACCCACTCGAGACCGAGGACTGTGCAGCCTGCAACGTGAAATACCTCCCAGTCAGTAAGTCAGGAGAGTGATTCACAGGTAAAAGCCACAACGATGTGATTAATTGAGCTACCTTAATATCGGGGAACTCTGTAATTAGAATAATCAGTTTGTTTCAGTAAAAGAGGGATCAATAACTTTTAACTATCAGTAATCCTGAACATTTATTACCAAAATATGTTAGACATACAAGGACTTGGCGATTGGTGCGTAACATCAAACAGTAAGACAATGAACAACAAGACAGATGAGACAACATCGTGCAACAACAATATGAATTTAAATTAAAAATAAAAGTTAAAAATATAAAAAGTTTTTTAAAAAGTTAAAAAATAAAGTGCACCAGCTAGCAGAAAGTGACAAGTGAAAGTGACCAGTTTCTGTGCATGTGGAGTGTGAAGGGGAGTGACCGGTGGAGTGTTGTAGTCAGTCAGTGGGGGACCGGCTCTGTTGATGAGCCCGACTGCCGACGGGAAGAAACTGTTGGTGTGGACGGAGGTCTTAGTCCTGATGGACCTCAGCCTCCTGCCAGATGGAAGGGGCACAAACAGGTTTTGTTCGGGGCGAGAGGGGTGGGCCACCATCTTTTTAGCTTCAGGGTCTTGGAAGCGAACAAGTCCTGCAGGGACGGCAGATTGCAGCCGATCAGCCTCTCTGCAGAGCGGAGGACATGCTGCAGCCTGCCCTTGTCCTTGGCTGTGGCAGCAGCGTACCAGACGGTGATGGAGGAGCAGAGGACGGACTCCATGATGGCCGTGTAGAAGTGGACCATCATCGTCTTTAGCAGGTTGAATTTCTTCAGCTGCCTCAGGAAGAACTGCTGAGCCTTCTTGGTGATGCAGCTGATGTTCAGCTCCCACTTGGAAAAAAAGAAAAACGGAAGGAGTCCACAGTGGTGACGGGTGAGTCTCACAGGGTGACGGGGGAAGGTGGGACTCTGTTATTCCTGAAATCTACATCTATCTACGTGAAATCTACGTGGTCTCCAGGGAGGTGTTGATGTCTGAACACCGGAGACAGCTGGTCAGCACAATGCATGCACACAACTATTCTTGCAAGCCGAAAATAGCGACTCTTTGGGTGAATAATTCATCCATTTATCCATTCAATGGTTTATTTTATGTTATATATATAATGATTTAGAATATAAACCGGAAAATGGGTTTGTTGTATCTTTTAGTGTTTCCGAAAAAACAATTAATGAATCTCTCTGGGAAGCATAAACATAACTGTATCTTTTTATATTAAAGGGGAAATTGGTGTCCACAAATAGAATTGTCAAACATCCAAAAAGATCTGAACAGGACATTAAGTCCTACTGTGAAGTGCCCGTTTTCTATCAGAGATCGATCTAGGGAAATAACCTTTTGAGGAAAAAATGATTACATTCTTTACATGTGTACTTCCACCGTGTGGATTTCATCAGGACAGAATCTCAATGAGCTGCTTAAGTCAGTCTAAACGCAGGAGACGGGTCGATATGAGAAACTCGATCACAACACGTCCACCTTTTGAAATAAGTTTGCATGCAATATAATGAGGCCGCATATGGCTGCTGACGCCTACGAGACACTTAGTAATATAAATGTCACGCAGAAGGGCAGCAGCGGAGGAAAAGGGCAAAACACTTTTCTAATTGCTGTAATTTGGACAAGCAACTTCAAGATTTCCCAATCTCGCCTTTGAGAATACTCTCGCGTGAAAGAAGCCTTTGAGGAAACAAGTACGGGAGCCCCTGAGGCTCAAAAGTAGCCGGCGTTGGGGCGGATTTGGAGCCCCGTCCCTCATGTGCACTGGAGTCAGTCTGGACACAGCTGCAGAATTGGATTTGTTAAGAACAAGAAAACCCGATGAAAACAACCCTTCCATTATTTCCCACGTAGCCATGCGAACACGAGCGCGGTCTTCGTGACCTAATGCCTCCTGCTGCCACACTGGGCATCTATAATTTAATATGATATTTACATATGATACTTATATTTGCACTCTCCTCCCGTTCCGTTGCAACCGCTGCACAGAAATCATGAATAAAGTTTTTATTTCATCTCATCAAAACCCAGAGAGGGAACCTCTAGACTGCAGCCAGCTGGGTTCCCAGATTCGACAACACTAAACCGAATGCTTCCAATTCCAAAATGTGTGGATCTGTGGACTGTGACGTCAGCCCACCAAGGCCTTTTTTAACCTTGTCGTCTCAGCGACATGAATAACTATCATGAATCTTCCTAATTTACATTTGAGAAGTGTGTTCATTGTTTCATGTTAATGTGCATAATTCAGAAACATCGCAACAAGCGAGCAAGAGACGGCAGAGGGTGACTCGGTGTCGTAAACAGATTAGCCAGAGGAAAAGTTTTGGGTTTAATCATAATTGAGAAGAAGTCACAGCGCCGTTAAATTGCTAAAATTTGAAGTGTCTCTGAGGAGGTTTGTTCCATAAAATCATCTCACTTCCAGGCTAATGTTGGTGCTCATAGTTCTTCTTGGAGCATTATCAGGCACGAAATATGAATGTTACGCAAACAATGTAACATAAGAATAGAAACCATCCCCGACTCGATCACAGGTCCTGTTTGTTCCAGTCCCACTTTGTACAAAGCTTGATATTTTAATAACGACAAGTAAGCATGGCGATGTCGTATAGCCTGCTAAATAACGTGTAGATTGTGGAGTTTTTTGTTGACTCCGTCCACTCTCCTCCCAGCAAAAAGTCGAGAGCTGATGAGACGCATCCAGTTCAGCTTCACGTCAGCCACGCTGACATGAACCCAACTTCAGTTCAGAAGGAAAGTGAGACACTTCTAGCAGCAGTTAAGGTTATTCATGCATCAAGTTCTGCGCTTGTGTCCAGAAATACGACCGTAAACCAGAGAAGAAAACACCAAACCCGCAGCTCCACCAGATTAATGCCTCTTTCCTTTTGTACTTTATTTAACAGACTCTCGCCCACAGCGCTCTCTGCTATCAGTGTGCTCTGGCTGTTGAAGATGAGGGATGAACCTTGACAAAGGGGTGAGCGACAATAACTCCCTGATGGCAACCTGCAACCGTTTATTGCCACTTTGTCTCTCTGGCGGTGGCAACGCTATCCAACAATCACACACACACACACACAAATCTCTCAGTGTTCACTTGTGCTGTTGTCAACTAGCACTTCATCGTGCTCTGAAGATCCCCTCAGTCTGAGCTAAAGCGCTAGTGTCTCTGTGCACCAGGGTCTCTTCTCAGGAGGAGGAGGAGGAGGATCCTGCTCTCATAACAAGTGAAAACATTCTCACACTCATTTCAATCAGCTTTTTAAAATTGAACTCCGTCGTTACCATTTCAAGATCACTAAGTAATCAGTTGCCGGTGTTACCGAAGCGCCCCGATATGAAAGAGGCTTGATACGTGACTAAGGTTCTGTGAGCAGAGCCAAAGCGTCTGTGTGTGTGTGTGTGTGGTCGGTTCAGCCGAGTCCAGAAATCTATGACGGCTCATTTAATTCTCTGCACAATCTTCAGAGCTGGGTCGTATCGTGGGCTCGAAGCTCGGTTGTGGGCCGAACCCCTCGCAGGTCATATTTTCCGGTTTGAGTTAATCCTCCAAATGCACGCCGGCCAGAACAGGAGGCGAGACGCCTTTTGGTTTTTCTGTGGCTGCGTTCCAGAGGGTTGAGAGACGGACGGAGGCTTTGACTTTCCACCATTGGCCTTGTTCCCTCGTTTTCTTCTCGGACTGACTGTAAACATTTCGACTACACGTGTGGGAGGAAACAGAAAATATCTGCTTTTAGAAGATAGCACAGCGTGCGCTTCTTATTCTTTCTTTCTGTTTCTCATCTCTTTTGGCTGCAGTTACATTCCAGAGGCTTTTACTCTGGCTGGACCGTAGATTTCTCCCTGCAGGGCATTTCGGTTAGTCTTGTATTGTGTGAGCAGCCTGGTGCTGGAAATACTGAAAAAGACATTTGAACATCAGAACTCGGTCAGATCTTCCTGTGTGAGGCACTGCAGGTGAAAGGAGACTCACATTTGTGCCTCCAAAGCCACAAAGGTGTCAACGCCTTATCATGCGATTGTAGCAGCTTTCAGAGACACTGTTGCATTTTTTAGTTTGTGGAATATACTAAATGCCTAATTTGCACTGAAAAATTAGTTTTCAGAAGTGTCCCGTTGGATTTGTTTTGTGTATCCGGAGGCGATTTAGTGTCTCCTGGTACTCTGTGAGCTTTTTCGTTACTTTGCATCAGTTTGTTATTACTTTAAGTTGTGTCTCTTTGTTTTGCCTCTTTTCATCATCACTGTACATTTCTTTGCAGTTATTTAATCGGCTCTTCTTATTCAATCTGCCGGTTGGTGTCTCTTCGGGTGACACTTTACACCATTGTTGTGAAATTACAAAAATAAATAAAAACTATACAGAAAATAAAAAAAGAAACACTTTTCAATTCTAAACAACAACCCCATCACTCAGCTGCCAGCGAGTCTCAGGACCGCTTCACATTTTTTTTTTCCCTTTCAATCAGATTCCCTGCTTGTTGGAAAGAGGCTGATGGATGCTCCCTGACTGAGGTAGTGCGGGATCGTTTACTCTGTAGGAGCGTCGGACGTTGACACATGAGGGTGTAGAAGTAGACAGGATTTCATATTGATTCAACCTCAAACCTTTAAACAAACACAATCTCCCCAATGTTCCGCCAAACATCTTTGTGTGTTCATTGGAAATCCACATTTTATGTTGTCATCTCATGACTTCAGATTAATGGAAGCGCTTGGAAATGTTGGAGGAACTGAATTAACCACATGAGAATCTTCTTGACGTGTTCCTGCCTGTGTTTTTATCTCTCCATTCCCCCGAAACCACACTGGCCGAGGTGACAACTGATCTCTGTGTAATTGATGACTCCCTGCTCTTCTGCTGCTGCATCCATTCTGACCTCCGCTTGTTATCGCACAGTTTCCACATCTACGATGGTGCTCCAGCACTTTTACCCTGACAGGGAACCGCGCACGTTATCCAAGCTAAGAGACTACGAGCCTTAAAACACCTTCGGTATGTTCAGGTTTTCCCAACAATCAGCTTGTTGTGGATTTGCAAATGATACAATCATCAAAGAAAGTCAACGGATGACTGGCTCCACACACGACCGTCACATTTAGTTTAATACCTGGGTCACTAAAAAGAGAACGCTGTTATTTCTGAAGGTGGCTGAACAGGACTGCGGTAAAGTGGACTGCGGTGAAGTGGACTGCAGTGAAGTGGACTACAGGGAACTGGACTGCAGGGAAGTGAAGTGGACTGTAGTAAAGTGGACTGTAGTGAAGTGGACTACAGTGAAGTGGACTGCAGGGAACTGGACTACAGTGAAGTGGACTGCAGTGAAGTGGACTACAGTGAAGTGGACTACAGGGAAGTGGAGTGCAGTGAAGTGAAGTGGACTATAGTGAAGTGGACTGCAGGGAACTGGACTACAGTGAAGTGGACTACAGTGATGTGGACGGTAGTGAAGTGAACGGTAGTGAAGTGGACTGCAGGGAAGTGAAGTGGACTGTAGTGAAGTGGACTGTAGGGAAGTGGACTGCAGGGAACTGGACTACAGGGAAGTGGACTGCAGTGAAGTGGACTACAGTGAAGTGGACTGTTGTATATCGTCCATCGGTCCCGTTGAGTTCAGTTCACACCTCCACATGAGAACAACCAGACACATTTGAGCAGTGAGAAATGATATAAAGTGCAATAGAATTACGGCGAAATGGAAACATTAGAGTTCCTCACAGTTGCAAATAATGTAATTTAACAGCAGATGGTGGGAAAACTGCTCCAGAACAAGTGACTTTTGGGGAGGGGTGGCCTAGCAAAGGGTTGATTTCTTCAATGTTAAAATGGTAACGTTTAAAACCATGACACAATGTCCGTCATCAGATCGTTGTGGAGGAAAAAACGAAATGTAAACCCAATAAAATCAGTTTTGATTGTTCACTTCAGCAGCAGAGCGTCAACAGTAATGTCTTACAGGAGCAACAACGACGGTTCTGAAGTGTAAATGTTGTGGTTGTAACAGCTCGGCGACGAGCAGCAGCTGCGTCGCTGCCCGGTCCAGCGCTCTCCGGCCAACTCTTCCCCTCCCGTCATCAGAGCAGATTGAGTCCGCGCTGACCTTTTGCCGTAATTATGGTCTGTCAGCGCGGCCTCTCCGTCTGATTCATGTTCGGCTCCACAAGGAAGCGACTGAACGCAGGAAAAAAGTCCACAGCAACGGGCGCTTTAATCAAGACATCGAGGGGAGAAAGGTAGTTCTGTTTAACCAACTTCCACTAAGGGAGTAAAACCCGTCCGTATATCTCTCTATCTGTCTGTCTGTCTGTCTGTCTGTCTGTCTGTCCAGCAAGAGACGACTTATTTTAAATGAGACGCTTTTTGTTAAGGGCCCCACTGATGTCGCCGTGTGGGTTTCAGCCTCCTCGTGCTCGTGACCCAGGCGGAAAGAAACATGTAACAGACATGTAACAGCTCTTTGCACTTCTGGATTCATGAAATAGTTATGAGAACCTCAAGAAACACCGGAAAAAACACTCTTTTAATACTGAAGAAACATGCGTTAAACACAATATTTAATACAATTCTATCTTATGAGAAGACTATAAACTGTTAATTTAATTCTGTTTAGTGTGTGTCACAACTCACTGTTGTTTCCTTACTTCCCACTTTTGAACCGAATATCTCTTTTGAATTTAATTTAGCAGGCTGAGGTTTTTAGTTGTATTGTTATTTTTTTATTCATATTGTAGCCCTTATTGTGTGAACTGTATTTAAAACAAAGCCTGTGATGCACAATGTTCATTTTCCGAAGAAATGTTTCCATTTGAGTTTCCTCTTTATGTTCGTTCTTTGGAATAAAACGGGCGAAATAAAATACACACAGATCAGATCTATCTCAAGAATCCTTCAAGGTCAACTCGGGATACTCAGGACTTTTCGAAGCAAATTGTATAAAAAGGTGTTGAAGTTAAAAACCTTGAGTCCACGCTGTAAATGAACATTTACTTGTGGCTGTTAACTCATCGCCTTCTTCTTCCCGTTAGCATGCTGCGACTCGATGCATCGTTGGGGATCCATCAGAGAAAAGCCAGAGCGGCTTTAAGAGCCGAGCAGCTACTCCGTCCTGATTCAAACCCTGATTCAAACTGCTGAAGCCTGGAGGAGGACAAGCGAACCCCCCCCCTCCCCCCCAGGGCGGTTCAGTATTCACGCGCTCTTTTCCTCTTGTTTGTGGACGGCATCAGAACAAAAGGGAGAACATTTGGTTTGAATTATTCCACCTGTGTTTTGTTGCGTGCATGCGTTCCCTCTCCAGCTCCACTCTCAGCAGAGAGGCGGATGACAATGCGACGGTAATAACCTTGTAACATTCCCCTGGATCACTTAAAGCGATCTCGCACGCAGGGAGGGATGCTTTTATTTGCATAATGCAACAATACAAGAATAAAAAATAAAATGCATTCTATTTGCTTTGTGAACATCTGCAATTTATATGCGGCGCAGCTTGTGTTAAGTATTGACAACCGCACCCAACGAATCGCTTCTTTTGCCTTAAAATAAAATAAAATAAAATAAATAGCTAACTAGAGCAGACAATTGTTTACAATGTCACAAATGTCGTTGTAAATCTCGTGTTCTAACAGGTCGGTCGAATATCTATCGAATAACTATTTATTTTGAATTTCAGTAACCGATGCAATGCAATAGCAAATAACTGGACGGGTCCTCTTTTTCATGCCCAACCATGTGATGCGAGACCATTGGGAACAAAGCACACCATTAGCTAATGTACCCCCCCCCCCCCCCCCCCCCACCTTTTAAAACCAAAAAATCGGTTGCCAGGGTAAAAGCAAAAAACCCCGGAGCCCCTTGGCTAAATTCCCGGTTGGCGGGCGGGTTTTTTTCTTTTGGCTTTTTTCTTCTTTTTCCCTCCCTTTCTTTAATCCTTTGGGGGCGGGGCTACATGTGTGGTGTTCGGAATGGGCCCGCCCCCCCACCCCAAAACCTGGGTTTTTAGTTTGGAGGCATGAAAAAAAAATCTTTCCCCCCCTCGCCCCCCCCCCCCCCTTAAAAGGAAAATAACAAAAACCTGGTTTTTGGCAATTAAGCGCGGGGAAAAAGGGGGGGAGACATAATTTTTTCCCCCCCGGGGGAAAGGGGGGTTTTCTCCCCCGGCTTGGTTTTAGTGAGGGCCTTGGGAAAGAGAAGTTCCCGAGGTTAAAAGAATTTTCTTAAAAAAGCAAACTCCGGTTTTAAAGGGGGGTCTTTCCCTTTTTAAATTGATCATTTAGCGATACATCAGGACCCCCCCCCCCCGTCTCACAGCTGAACAAGAAGGGCAGAATCCCACTCCCCACATTAAATCTATTACTGCAACCCTCTCCGGGACGAGGGTTATTCATTTCACCCCGAGGCAAAGAGCTGCAATCAGGAGAGGAAAGAGGCACACATGCATCCTATTACCTTGAGTGAGCACGACAAATGACACATACAGGTGATAAAAGTAGGGTTACTAATTAGAGGACACGTCCAACCGGGACGAGGCAAGAAAAGTCCTCCAGCTTGTTCATTCCACTTCATTTTGTCTTTAGCTTTGATTCAGGTGAACTGAAGGAAATGTGGAAACACGGATGACTACGGGACACAATATAAAACACCACATAGGGTTGAAGCCTGGCTGAATGTGGTCAACGTTTACGGTTTACCACTTTCAAGTGAAATCACGTTGAAGAAGTCTGACAGGTTTATTATAATGAGGGTGTTTGGACATTATCTTTTCCTGTAATGGTATGATATAAAATTCCCTTGGATCTAACATTCAATTCATTTTATTTTGTATAGCGCAACATCGCAAATGTGCCTCAAAGGGATTTACAGTCTAATATTCATTAGATAATTATTGCGTCTTTTGTGTATCTAAATGTTTCATAACTGAGTGTCAGAGGGACTGAAGGTCAAGGGAGAGGTTTCATTTCACAAAGGAAACAAAAAGGCGAAACCCCCCCAAAAAAAACTACTCCACTGGATTAATTACAACAAACCAGCTCCAGCTGATCTTCACCTTGAAGTTCTTTCAAGTATGTTTTTGCTCCACAAGAAATTGGGGCTGTGATTTATTGGAGAGCAGAAGCTGTTAAACCAGCAACGTATGGGACTGAATTAATAAGACAAATCTGTGTGTGTGTGTGTGTGTGTGTGTGTGTGTGTGTGTGTGTGTGTGTGTGTGCGTCACAGGCTGTTTGTTTGGAGTCGTCTTCACACCTAAAGACAACATCGACTCATCTGATCTTAAATAACGTAATGAACTTACTTTTAACGAGAGTGACTTTAATTTACTTCTATTTGGACATTTTATGCCTCTGAGCTTTTGGATGTCTCGGTATTCAGCGTAAGAGCGCGAGGAGTTGCCTGTAATTGCAGAACGGCGTGTTTTTTCTTTTCTTCGGAGGTGAAGACGTGTCTTCATCTCTCCTCCTCGTCGCTGATCTTTTCGGGTGAAGTCTCGGGTGCAACCGCAGCCCCCAGAACCAGACCGGGGGGGGGGGGGGGGGGGGGAGTCAATCCCCCGCGCCAATCACAGGCAAGGGGGAATTAATCAGGGGGGAAGAATCAATCTGCTCCGTGAGAGCTGACGTTAGCAGCTCCGCGGACTAAAGTCGACCTATTTCAGAGCAGATTAATTCGGGACTGATTAGCTGCGTTCTGCTTTGCCAGCGCTGCTGCCGACAGGCCGACGCCTCCTGGCTACGTCTCCTTTCGTCTCTCTTCGTCTCTGCGGAATGACAGCGGGGACGACAAAAGCCGGACAACTGAAGAACCACAAGTCTGTTGGTGTTTTAATATCCAGCGATCCCAAAATATAACGACGTGAGATTCAAGCAGATTCAGATTCAAGTTTCACCGTGACTAAAGTCGGCTGATATCCGCCTTCGGTCTGCTTTCACCATCGTCACTTCCCGCCACATCTGCCCGGCCTGAAGGGAGGAAAATGAAATCCGCCCCGACACACAGACACGACTCGGTGACACAATTAACACATGACCAAAGAACAGTAAGAGGACATCTTTCTCCTGCGCATGTCTGTGGTTACATTAGAACTATGAACTCGTCCTTATGACACATTTCAGAAGCACTGAGTATAGTTCCATCTTCCTCCATTGACAGGTCATCACTCTGAAGAAGAGGAGCTCCTGCTGCGCTAAACACCGACAGTAAACGCTGTAATCTGAGTACATTCTCCACTGTCTGCATCTGCCATCAATACAATCACAGTAATTAAGCTTGTTAACGAGAGCGGGCGGGCTCATGCATCGCCCTCGCTGAAAACAGATTCTTCATTCGCGTTTTCCACGCCCGAGGACATCGGCCGTCCCGCTAAGAGCATCGTAGGTTGGCAGCACCTCCGCGAACATGAAGTCGTCTAAACTGCTGAGCCAGACATCTGCGTCATCTCATCTTTAAATATTCATAAGTCTCGACCACGAGAGGTACGACGTCCAACAAATTGTGGTTGTGCAACGTGCATCGTAACCACTTGAGCGGGACGCCTTCACACAAACAACCAGAGGAGGAACCACTGACTCGCCCGCTCTGCTCCATTAAATCCCTTTTTCTTACTAAACGCACCTTCATCAGCGGGATTTAAGCAGAAACCTCCTGGACTCAGAAGAGCTTCTGTTCACATTATTCAGGCTTAGCGCAGAGGACCGAGCAGCCTCACGCCTTTGTGCTGAAAGCCGCTCGGAATGAAGAATTCATCGTTACTTGTAAGGTTTTCAGTGACCTGAAGCACAATAACCTTCTATGGAGCAACTGCTCGGGCCGAGGGCCACGTGATTAGTTAAAAGTGACACCTCTGCAAAACACAGGGTGCAATGTTTGAGGGCCTGTTACAACTATCATTTGGGAAATTAATGTCAGGTAATGAGGCCGAAGTGGCACTAGCTGAATGAATAATACACGTGGCGTCGTAAAGGTTCAGCTGACGGGAACACGCAGAATTCTCAGGGCGCAACAAGAAAGTCCTGCTTTGAGATTCAGCACTTTAGACAGAGGCGGCTCTCTGAAGGAGGAAATACAAGTCTGTTTTTATGAAAGATTCAGTGACACGCCTCTGAAATTCAGGAGGACCTTTTCTGCATGGACCAAATAATGTTAATTCTACATACGCTGTAGTTTAGATTAGATTTGCATTCTCTGCAGTGACCAGCAGGGGGCGACTCCTCTGGTCGATACAACGTCTATGAGAAAATGACTCTCGATTTATTCCCACAGTAAACATTGCAAACATGAGTTTATGGTCTTAATCTCTAGTTACAGGTCTTCTTCAATACTTTAATGTCTTTTGTTCAGTTTATATGAACAATTTGTTCACCACAATGTCTCCAAAAATGTCTTATTCGTTCGTTCAATGTGTGTTTTTACACTCTGTGGATATTCTCCCGTTATCTGAGCTTCCGATGACAAACTCCAATCAGGTGAACTTTCATCGCGTTAATGAGACAACAGCAGAAATACGAGGCGTGTCAGGTCTTTTTTACATAAAGCGTGACCTGTTTTTGTCGGAGCGTCGTGCTAATGAGGGGGATGATTTGTCTTTGGTGGCGGCGGAGACGCTCCGCCGATGATGCGTGAATCCGCCACTGATCAAACAGATTTATAAAGAAGGTTTTTCTTTATTTTATTTTTGTCGGAGCAGAAATTGCTAAATGAGCCATTTTTAACACCAATGTACAGTCATTGTCAAATGAGCTGTGATAAATTACTGTAAACAGATCAAACCCTGATTTATCGGCCATCAGTGCTTGAAGTTGTTGACGTGCAGATAGAAGTAGCGGCACTCTTAAGAGTACAATGTAGAGCGCTGTCGGCCATAAAATACAAAGAAAGGTCCCCGGATTATTTGAGTCTATTTGCATACGATTACGTTCCTGTTTTACGGTGCCGCCCAGCACAGATGTGTTCTCTTTGAGTGCCTGTTTAAACAGAACGCAGCATTAATATTTAAAACGCTCCACTGAAGGAGGCCGTCCGCTCCGGTTCGTAAAACAACGTACCTGGCTGGATGTGGATTAGGCAGAACATGAAGGTCCACCGAAGCTTCCCGTCACATCACACACTGGTCCATCTTTACTACGGTAGTTTTAGGCAACATTTTCACTTTTTGGGGAAAACATCAATCGGCTTTCCTGCCGAAAGGCGATTTATTCCACAAGCTAAATGCATTATGTGGCTGAATGCATCAGTAGATTAGCTTAGCTTAGCATGAAGACTGAATAAAAGGGACAGAGCAGTTGAGCTGAATCCACGCCCACACATCACAAGTCAGTTGTGTTCTTTATGTTCATTTCTTTGGCTGGAAGAAGTTGCAGAGCAATCAGAAGGTCCACCGCGTTTGTCCTGAGTTTGCATTTGTACTCATCTGAATCACAATCTTTAGCTTCGCCAACCAGATGTCGTCCGTCTGGTTTTACAGATT